TGTAGGTACGGTTTGAAAATAATGGTGATACTGCCGTACAAAATTAATAGTAATTTTTTCAGTTTCTTTTTTACTTTGTTATTTTAAACGTAGCTGCTGCTGAAAAGGAAAGTCCCAACTTTCCGGTCACCCTGTATTGTTGCAACGAATACTTATACCAAGCGTATGACGGTGCATAAATGTATGATGTATCCACAAATTGAGGATATGTCGGTTAGTCAAGTTAGGGGGACACATTTTTGCGTTGTCAGTTCCTCATATTATCTTTAATACGGTACATTAAAAATGTTAATCAGGGCGTACAAGCGAAGTATACAGGGGGTTTCAGTGATATTCGTTTTAGTAAAAATGCAAATTGAAACAAGAAGAACATGCTTAAGATCGTTGATTCCGCAGTCATTCCTGCTTAATTCTGCGCACTAACAGTCGTTGTCTAAAGACTAAATTCTTTCTTAGTCCTTTTGAACTACCGCTAATATCCTGAATTGACAAAGAATTAGTCCGGAAGCAACATGTGTTCAGAGCCTAAGAGACCTGAAATATTTGAGAAAACTTTTTATGTGATTTCCAGTTGATATTTTCGTACCGCCCTGTACATTCCTCGATACGAGCCGACCTACGTTTGTGTTTTGCTATGAATGATATAATTTATGTGTACGTCCAAAAATAAAACCTTACTTCCTAATGTATTGTTTATAATGTATAAATAAGAATTATTGCATTCAATCTAAAAACGTAATACAATCGTAAGTCGGTTCACCAACATGGCTACTGGCTCAGTTTTGTTTACGGTTACTGCACGATTTTTTTGCGATAAAAAAATCGTGAATGAAACTGTGTGAGTCAACGCGTGTACGGTTTTGAATGGACACTGGCGCAAATGTCATTCGATAATGTTATCTGTTTTTATCGCACTGACCACGTCAATTTAATCTCCAGTATGCGTGTAACGTGACTAACAGCGAGCCCCATTTTGTGCATGAAATAGTTATTTATGTGTCGAAAGCAAAAAGTAGCGTTCACGTCGAGCTGGGTTGATGTAAAGTGGTCCCTAATAGAGACTGATCGATGCTGATATTGAACGAAATAAATTGTGTGTGAAGCATCGCGGAAATGATTTTTGTATTTGGATAGAGCATGTATTCCATTTTGCTCAAACTGAGCTGTCTGTATACGATTTTTCGGATGAGCGCATCCACGACAGCGAGTTTGTTCAGTAAACAACAGCTGGAAAGAAAGGATAAAACGGCTCCCACATTCCGGGGATTCCAGGTGCCAACCAAGTTTCAAGATCGACTGTCAAACTAGCGAAAAAATATAGTTGTGTCAGAATGGTCTCTAATCCCCATATTAAATCACAAAACCTCTTTATAAATCACTTGGTTTGGCTACAAACATATCTTTTTCTACCAGCGTGCGGAAAGTACTCACTTTCAAACTTCTCCGCAAAAGTGCTGCTTTATGCACGCAGATGCGTGTTGAAAGTATCACTTTCCGCACTTGTTAGGTAAGTAACTATTTTCGCTTGATTTAGAGATCAAAACTTATGATCCGGATCAACAATGACCAATTAGAAAGCGTTTTTGTAAAACTTAATCGAAAATCGATTAATCGGAAACGAGTATCATAAACCCACCTTTAAGATGATGGAACCAATTTCAAAACAAACATAAAGACCTGAGAAAATTGAAAAAAGAATATATCGGTTGTCAATTAGGTGTAGATTTCTACATACATCTTAATTATCTTCTATTATCACATGTTTTCGCTGCTGTACCTAATCCGCATTTCGTCGTTCAAAGTAAATAGCGATGTTTCTGGGCTGCAAATATTTTAAACACCTGCTGCGTTTGCTTTATTGAATTTTAGAAAAAAATGGCAGAAAACTTGATATTCCGAACACCCAGTTTAAATGGTTTTATTTTAATAAAATTTTGTATAAGTACTTAATGAAGCATAATAAGTAAATGATAAAAATTTCAAAATGATTGCACTGCTTTAAATCCCTTTGACCTTTAATAATGTGTGGATGCACCCTGATGTGCTACGCATTCTCCAACGCGCCTAGGCATGCTTCTGATCAGGTGGTCAATGTCCTCCTGTGGTATCTCATTCCAGGCAACCACCAACTCCTCTCGAAGTGCTTCTAGAGTCTGAGGAGGAAGTTGCAAATTGAGCAATCTCCTACCCATCATATCCCACACGTGCTCAATTGCGGATAAGTTAGGAGATCTTGGTGGCCATGGTAACAATATGACATCATTATGTTGAAAGAAGTCTATTGTGACTCTTGCAACATGTGGTCGGGCATTATCTTGTTGGAAAGTTGGATCTGCCAGGGTGTCAAGATAGGGTAAAAGATGGGGTTCTAGAACTTCGTGGATATAACGCTGCGCGTTCATGTTACCTCTGATGAAGATTAAAGGTGACCTGGAACCATAAGCTATAGCACCCCAAACCATAACTCCAACAGTGTGATGAACATGTCTTTCAACAAAAAACTGTGGATTCCTCCTTTCACCACGTCGCCTTCTAACCCTGGCACGACCATCGTGCATGCCTAAACAAAATCGAGACTCGTCACTAAAGACAATACTTTTCCATTCCTGGTCCCAGAGTGACCGTTGTCTGCACCACTCAAGGCGATTACGTCGATGTTCTCGAGTTAAAGGGAGGGCCCAGTGTGGCCGGTATGAAAACAAGCCAAAACTTCTCATTCGTCGGTAAACACTTCGCATGCCAATAGGTCTTCCGTGTTCTGCAAACCATTCATTTGCAATGGACCTGGTAGTGGAGAAACGGTCCCTTAAGGCCAATAATCTTAGGCGGCGATCTTCACGGTCTGTTGTTCTACGGCGGCGTCCAGTGCCCCTTGCTCTTTGCGTACGGCCTTCTCGAAGCCATGCCTGACAACACCTAACCACAGTGTCTACACTTCTTTGCACTCTAACTGCAATTGCCCGAAAAGGAAGTCCAGCTTCCCGAAGTCCCACTATACGGCCCCTCACTAAGTTGACGAAATCGTACAGGTCTCCGTACTCTAGGCATCGTAACCGATCGTAAAGGATGTCAAGAACCAAAATCCGCCAACGTTGATTCTTTACTGCGGCTGAAATATTCATTTTTAGAGCTGTAGTGAATTAAAAAAAAGCAGTATAAAAACCGGAATGTCCAACTGATAAGGCTGAAAATTTGTTCACTTGTTATTTACAGTAAGATAAATACATTCACCAACTTTTATTAAAATAAAACCATTTAAACTGGGTGTTCGGATTTATATGTCACTTAGTATACAACAAAAAGATCTGTAATAACAAAGTCTGTAAAATGTAAAATGAAAACCCTTCTTGCTTGTGCTTCTTTGTCAGCTAGAGATGGAGTGTGTATTCGAATTCAGATTATTCAGATCCAGATAACCACGATTCTGGGACTCCTACGATGCTGTTCGACAACTTCCACGTGTCGTTGGATGAGGACAGATCCATCGCAGTATTATAGTAAAATATCGTTGTAAACGCCTCAGAAAATGGTGCGTCTATTTAGAGATTACTTACAATAATCTGACACCCTAACTACCGAAACCGGTTGAAGCTGTATTTAACTTACCTCGAATCCCGATGAATCTGTATTAAACTTACTACGTACTTACTTCATTAAAAACTACTACCTTAAATAACATTCATCACAAACTCAAAAACAACTTGGTATCACCTTCAAAATCAGCTAGCACTAATCATAGAAGCATTTGAAATAACTCTTTTCGTAACCGAATTTTCTAAATAAGGCGCCTAGTATTTCCCGTGAAGCCGCACCCAGCAGCTAGATGAACTTGAACAACATACAACGACTACAGATTTCTTTCACGCTTGTAACAAATTAAGATAGCAAGTTTATCATATTCCTCGCGGCATCAAATCACCCTAATTAACACTTGTGAATATTTGCGAACGCATCCTCACAGCCCCATCTCTAGTATTCGTTTACCCTCTCTACTCTTGACAGTTGATGCATCTGCAGTGCTGCCAAGCTAATAACAGTAAACATGAATAATTCGTATTAACACACAAAATTCTAATAACGTTTATTTTTCAATTCAATGTGGTAGCACTGTACAGTTCTGTGACTGGACAGCAGTGCTGATTTCAAATATATTAAAGATTTTCCAGTGTTTTTACTATTCCCCCAGAAACGTACATGCGTTAAATGCATACTGAGATACTTTTATTAAAGATATAATTGCCAATACTTTGCACAAATGTCGCGCGCACACACAGGATCATAGGTTTTGATCTACGAATCAACTGAAAAAATATGTTTATGTCGCTAATTTCTTGATTTAATATGGGGATTAGAGGCCCTTTTTACACAAATCGTATATATCGCTAATTTAAGTGGTATTTTAGAAAAAATCGAACTATACTCGTTAGATCCATTACTAGAAACGTTCTCATTGGTAAATCACGACCCGGATCAAAATGGCCTGCATAGACATTTCACGTAAAAAAAACTTTCGTTCGTATCTCACACACATTTTATTCTATTTCAACGTTAGACTATCCCTATTGGAAAACTTTTATTATCGCACCAGTTTTTCAAAAATTCGCAGAGCTATTACACTACAAACAATAAAACATTTTTTTCTGCCAGCGTGCAGGAAGTAACCACTTTCAACACGCATCTGCGTGCAGAAAGTAGCACTTTTCCGCACGCTGGTAGAAGAAATGTTATATGCGGGAAGTGTATTTTCCTGGTGAGGTAAATACCTATTTTTTGGGAGATTTGAGAAAAAAGATTTCAATTTTACTATTTTGTGTTCTTGAACGGGATTGTAATTATTTCCGGATCTTTGACATTTGCGTCACTCTATTCAAAACATGCACGAAAATCCATTCAAAAGGTGATCGTTGATTACTTTTTGAATACTTTGATATGACTTTTCCTCTCCTTTTTTTTTTTGTTAAATATATGCAATAGCGTAGTGGCATTCCATTTAATTTCAGAAAATGTCCGAAGAGATGTACAATGACATGGTATTGTATCCATTTTTATAAAGGAGAATGTCTACCTACATTCATCATTAATAATAATTGTATTGTGTCCTTTCATTACCCCAGTGGTTTCGCTGTTTATCTACCACATGCTTTCAGTTATTGTGTCACAGTGATTTTAGCTATTTACCGTTATATTTAACTGCTTAAGCATCGAAGAAATCGATCGAATATTCTGCTAACTATCGAGGGATCATTCCTTTCGTAGCAGACTTTACCTCGCATACAATAACTAATGCCCCATGGCATGTCTCCAATGAGACATCCCTTGCATAAATGAGTATATTTGCCCTTTATGGCCTACTGGTTTATTTACTGGACTCCTGATTTTTATTTGGAAAAATAATGCCACTAATTCCCTGTACCTCTGCCACTGGTGCACGGTTTTGAAGATATTAAAACAAATCTTTTTTATTTTTAAACTTCAACACCCGGTATCTTTTTAACGAATCCATCGGAAAAAAATGTTACATAGAAGACACCTCTTAGAATGTGGTCCTGTGTATGATGATTCATTTTTGGTGAATCACCCTGTATAGCATTACACAGCTGAGAAAATACCAGTTTACCTGGTGAGAATCGCTTGATGGAAGGGATGATAATCACTCACGGATCGAATCTTTCCATTAGACAGTCATACCGAGCCAGTGTTGCCATTTATACTAGCTACGATGGCCGACTGTGTAATCCTGAAGGTAATATACGCCTTTGAAGGGTGATTTTATATTCACTTGTAATAATTCGATGTATCTCTAGAGGCACATAAGACCGCGGTTTGCACCCTGAAACGAATTAAATTGCAATTAACAAACTTCAAAATTATTTTTCTAAATCAATTTAATATTTCCCCGAGTTCTAGTTAAACCTATCGACTTACAAGAGCAAAGGTCCTATGTACTGCTTTGGCAGGCAATGACGAATAGAACACTGAGTATGATCATCTAGAGGAATTTTGCTATCCGTCGTATCTTGATCGGTAAACCAGCTAAAATCACTGCACTATAAACGTTTTAACTCAGCCTATCATCATATCATTTTTATATACCATCTTTTGGTCACTTAACTAAGTTCGTGTGCTCGTGACTATACTAATATACATTTTGTCAGCTGTATCTATCTGTTGGTTTCCTGCTACATCCATATCATTGTCACCTCTACATGTTCTAAGCACTTGCGACTAGTGATGGCAAGGATCTGCTAAAAAGCTTCTCGCATTTAGAATCACTAACGTGCAATACTTTTTTATGTACAAGCATGGCAATTCGAACGTTCGCGAGACAAAATTTCAGCAGTGCGGCGTTGCTTTGAAAGTCATGCGAACTTTCGATTATCTATGTTTGTACATATGTTGGTGGTGGGCTTTTTAGTGATGTTATTATTATTATAAAAACTCGCGGAAATAAGACGTTATCAGGAATTTCAGATTCGACTCAGTGACAAAGAGAATAGACAGTAAAACTGATTTTATTTGTCGTGATTAAATTTTGAATTTGATAATTCCTATTATCATTCTTAAATTGCTCAGTATATTGCCATCAAAAATTGGGTGTGTGTATTTTTCATGTCTCTGTCACAGGTGTATATCGACATCGTCTCAGGGGTAAACGACCGATCCAGATAAATTAATTAACATGGAAATCAATAGAAATTTCCATAAAAAATAAGTCGATTCGACACTTCATATGTTTTATCAGCCCATGTGAAGTGTCGTAGTTCAGTGCTCTTAGTGATTCAAAGTGTATACAAAAAATATGAGCAGCTTCATCGAAAGATATTCTTACCAGTACTAGTCAAACGTGATTGAGTTTTTTCCGGGGTTTTTGTGGGTGATTCTTTGTTGTTGAGTGTTGTAACAGTTTTGGTTCTCTTAATTTGAAATATTGTCTGCGTAGGTATCTGATGTTTGTTTTCGTATATCAAGTTTACTAAAATATTTTAGCTGGGAATTTTGCATGAGATAAATAGGTATCTTAACTTCTTTTATAAGCTTTATAGCTTTTTAACTGTTGTATTAATAACGTCTTCTTAAAGCGATTATTTTACAACAAATCTGATCTTGATCTGTTTAAAACTTTGAATACCTACCTCCATTACATTTCATCAAGTTTTGGCTTAATGTTATGTGAACAGAACGTATTAATTAACAAACTGGCGAGATTTCAGGGAGTAATTCTTTATAATCCTAAGAAACGTTCGTACGAGCATATGTGTTAAAGTGATCCCTTTTAATGCTCAACGTACACTTTTGTTTTTGTTTTCTACGTCGTAATAGCTTTTTAGCTAAGATTGTTGAAATTTGTTAAAATTTATTGACGACTCATCGAAAATTAGATTCTTTAATAGTTTTCTCAATTTATTTTACACAAATATTTACAAAATTGGCTAAAGGGTTATTGATACTAAAAAAGTCAAAAAGGAACCGTGTATCTGAAAAACGAAGCATTACTGGTCCTGTTTACATATTTTTTTCTTAGAATTATCCAACGTGGCCAGTTATTCAACACCCGGTATATTTGATCAATTATGAAACCTTAGTTATAAGGGATATCAGATATCTATCGAGATTCCTTCGCCTGTTTCAGTTTCCCCCTTTGTCTCTTCCCAATATCTTCTCAACTTGGTCCGTTTAAAAATTCTAAAGTGGAATCTGAATATCATTGAGGAAATTGAAAATATGATAATTGTATTTTTCGGATGGATTTTACTTAAACGTTTTCAATAAACGAAATGTATTTAATCAGGAATCCTGTGGTTTAAATGCAACTTCTATATCATTTCGATAATAGAGAAAGATTATTAATTAGGGATTTTCTCACAAATTGGTTTAATTCTTCTCGAAATTTAAAAGTGCAAAGCGGCACCTATTACCAGAATCGACCACAGCAGATGTAAAGATCTCAGTTCGCGGTTAATAGCCCAGTCACCACGTGACCGCTAGATGGCTGACGATTCTGACAGACAAATATTTTCAACACACTGCATCGAATGCAACGAACGTAGGAAGATATTCCTTTGAGACTGGCCACTAGCGTTCGTTGTTTAGTCATAGCAACGTTGCCAGATCATTGGTAATGTCCGTAGGACTGGGAGTTCGTAGCTAACTTTTGTCTCAAAGGGCCTAACCTCCCAACCTACTCAACGCCAAATTGTATCGTAATTTCGCCTGATATAACAATTAAAAAGTGCCTTTTGGGAATGACACGATGCATTGTTGCTACCATTAGATTATCAGGGAGATCTCTGCGTGGTGATGTAGCCCGGTAACATTGTATTTAGGGTTACCAGATGAGACGATGAAAATATCTGGGCAAAATTTAAAAAAGTCGGGATTTGAGATTACGAATAAAAAAAATATTTTTAGTAGGCCAGGTAATTACAACAAAATACTTTTTTGCAAGTTAAGAGTTCACAGATGAAACATAATATGAGACCATTTATTTTCAACTTTGCCACAAGTTTTTGGCATTTATTTCACCATTTTCATTTGGTGCCCTTTAGATTATTCGAAAAAGCTTTGAAACTTGAACAATTTTCATCAAAGTCTAATCTTTTTAGTAGTTTGGCTTCAATTAAATGTTTTGCCATTCTATTTTTATCCTAGGTATACAAGTTATTTAATAAACTGAACACCCTTTCACAATAAGTATTGCTTATTGGAATCGATAAGAAAAAATATATTTTTTTCAAATCTTTGAGCTCATTCAAGCATGACCCTTTCTCTATTATCGAACCTTGATATAAATGCACTTGGAGCATGGATTCGTTGCCGAAGATTGGTGCTGTAATCTAGTCTCGACTAGTTTATGATATTAAAGGATATCGAAAAGCTCGAGGAGCTTGAAGATTGACTTAAGACATCAGGGATCAAAAATTCAAAGTGTCAAATTCTCAAGAAAAAAGCGTGTTATCGCTTGCGTGGCGGTCTTTGTCTTTTGAGATTTTTTTCAGTAAGAGATACCTCCGTGTAGTGTCAGGACAGTGAGGAATTTTTACGTTGACCATAGTCAAGTGCCAAAATGTCTCTATTATGTCTCTAACGCGATATAGTCCAGGTAGTATCTTCCCGTATGCTGGGGAAAAATCTTCTGATGAGGATTTTTTGCATAATCTAATCATAATATGACCCTTTTAGCGAATCTGCATGTCGCCAGGCCCAAAATTGCTTATTTTTTTAACAGTTTTTAAACAAATTCCAAAAAATTTTTTTTTCGCTCCGGTCAAAGTGTTTTTAAGTTTTAATGCATGATCAACAAAAAAGATGCTCTGTCTAAAATTGAACTTCAACATTCCAAAAAGTGCAAAATATGCCATTTTCGATCACGAAAAACAATATGAAAAAACGAGAATTATTATGTTTCTAATTTATTCTAAATATTATTCAAACATCCATTAATAAGACCCCAAATCATTTTAGGGGGTATTGTTAGTGTAAACATTTGTTATTTAATTGTTAATCAAGCACGCGCTCAATGTATATTTTGCGTGAGTCCGAGAGATATGAATATATACAGGGTGATAATTAAGTATGTACCATAAATTTGACAGACAATTCTTTGAGTGATTTTCATCGTTAAAATTAAAAAAAAACGGTATTTCGTAAAATTCTTAAATATCGTTTATCTAACTTTGTCGTAATTTTGAGGTGGTATTCATAACATTAAGGAGCTAATTTAGCCCTAATTTGATTAAATCTATTATGTCCAGTGGCGTTTCGAGGAGTATCTGAACGAATATTTGTGACAAAAAAATATACGCTACTTACCTTTATGCAGTTTTTATTCTGTTCTTTAGATTAAGCAAATACAAATACAACTTTCTTGTGTCCTGAATTTTTTCGTCTTTTGCTTAGTTTTCGGGGAAAAAAGTCCACTTAATTGCATATCCCAGGCCCACACAAGGAATATAGGGAATAGTTTATTTTGGAAATTATTATTTTTTACAGTTTTTTTATTATCGATTATGTAGCAATAACAAATTAATACTAAATTATATTACATTAACATCCAAACTAAGGAATAGTAAATAATGATCAACTGTTCGTTGAGATCCCGCTCGAAGCACCACTGGACTCAATAAATCTAATCAAGTTAGGGCTAAATTACCTCCTTAATGTTATAAATACCACCGGCAAAATACAACAAAATTAGGTAAAAAGTATTTAATTTTAAATTTTAACACCCTGCATCTTGAGAACGAAGAATTCACGGACCTATATTTATATGAACTTTTTACCTTAAAATTAGTCAAAGAGTCGTCCGTTAAATGCATGGTATATACTTAATTGACACCCTGTAGGAATATTCAGTATTGAGCAAACGTCAGAATTTTCATTTTTTCATATTGTTTTGTGCCCAGAGCGAAAAAAAAACAATTTATGATAATTTAAAAAAAATCCAACAATTTTTGACGACTGGCGACATGCAGGTACGTCAAAGGTGGGTGTCCTATTTGAACTGAATTTTCTGTATTAAACTACGAGCCCCTTCCCACTTCAGTTGGCCCACTTCAAGATTTGTACCAAAATATGCCTTTATAAACTAAACATGACGAAACTATTTACTTCTAAAACAATTTATTTTCTCAAAAACATTTTATATACACACTAGTCGTAAAAATACGTATTTGAAATCACTTAGACCTATAACTAATAGAACATCTGAACAAATAAACAATGTGCGAATAAATTTGCGAAGTTAACAAAGCAACAATTGTTGTCATCACTCCATTGTATTGCACACCATTGTTGAGGTGTCTATTGTCTATGTTCTCTAGCCCATCTAAGCCGATTTTTATTTTGCAGTGGAGTTAATAGTGGCTTTTCTTTGGCCTTCAAACAAGTTGTGCAACTTTAGGGTTTTTACTTCACTTTTTTATAAGAAAACTTACCTTGCAAGTGCTAAATCCCAGTTTGTGGGCCTCTCTATGTGTTGTGGACCTCGAAATTCTGCTTCCAACAGCGTCACTCCACAGAGCACATAATTGTAAATAATTGGCACGCCTGTTTTTTACGATTATTCTTCTTAATGCTCTTCGGTCAGCATTTGTGATATTACTTTTTTTCACATATCGTGGCTTAATATTAACTGAACCAGTTACGTTATATCTTCTAACGATATTTCTCACACTATACCGCGATAAGTCTAACAAAGTTACAATTTCTGAGTTTGATTTCCCAGAATTAAAAAATTTCATTATCAGTAACCGAATTTTCTCACTAATAACCTTTCCTCCACCCATTTTGAAAACCTTAACTACCCAAAACTATTTTAAACGTATTCTGACAGCTGTGATTAATAAAAATAATTGTCATGGCTTTTATTTTTCACAGCCACCTATGCGTTATAGACTTATTTTGCATTGAAATGAAAATAGGTTGATATGCTGTAATTGCATGTGTTATTTTTATGCTGCAAATTTGATTAGGGAGTGATAAAGTTGGTGTTTTCTACTATATATTATTAAAATATTCATGGTTAATATTTTAAACCTATAACACCCTGCTACATATTTATTTGTGTTTGATAAGAAAAAAACTAAGATTTCAATAGTTGGGCCAACTGAAGTGGGAAGATTCCTCGTTATTTATTATGGGGTTCCGCGAGCCTCATACATTTTGACACTTGACTGCCCACAGTTGTTGTGTAAGTGGTGCGTTGTTGTCAGAGGGCGTGTTAGTCCTTGTGCGGTGGTGTGCATTTGTGTTTTTTCCCCATGCTGCTCTCAACTCGAACCCAGGGAGCTCATTCTCCGGGGCCGCGAACTCTTTCCATGGGCGTCTACCCCATACAGAGTATCAACTCGTGTATACTCAGCCAACAGGATGTAAGTGAATCAGTATCATTACATACATATTTCCATTGTCACATTGGCGATATGAATGAATGGTTGTCTCCGCAGGCTTTGAAAATTATCAAAGTTTAATATGGAAATTGATTATAAATTCATTGGTTTAGCTTACCTTTATTTCTTGAAAGAAGCTAATCTAGTACCAGTTTTCATGTCGCTAGCTTGAGCTATAGAGAACAATAAACGCTAACGCCGTTTATTTCATTATCGTTGTGCGGCTAAATTTCGTTATTTTCACGAGTTCAATCCAGGATTCAGTTTTGAAGTAATCGAAATCACTATTTTTCGAGTTCGTAAATATAACAACGTTTCGTACGTAATTTAATTTTGGTATCTACAAAATGAATTTTATAACCCATTCATGGGCTTTTTGGTTATTGAAAGAGACCGTCAAAAATTATCAAACGGTAACTTGTGACTCTGTGAATAACCTTGACATTTTGAAGCTGCATTTTTGACGTCGAGACAACTTTCTTCTTTATATCGCTGTATTGAACTTTGGAATATTCTATCGTATATTTATATTGGTTTCACGTCTACTATTTCTATATTCAAAGCTTGCTTCAGATGTTCGACTGATTCACAATATACAGGGTGGCCCATCCATGTGTGGACGGAATATTACTCATAAACAAATACATTTTGGGAAAATCTATTCATGGCATGTTATAGACGACATTTGAGGCTACATTTCTAAAATATTGGCAATTATACAGTGTGTCCCAATTTTGACCTACATATCAAAGTTATGATTTTATTGCATTTTTGGATAAACCAATTCAAAAGAAAAATATTGGTATAACATACTATGGGGTTTTGGTATTGAGCTACTGAGATGTAAGGTGTTTTATCCAGAAAAACCGTCCACTTTGGCAACCCCTCAGTCCGCCATTTTGAGATATGGAGTGCTGAATTTTGTAACAAAAAAAACTTACACACCTCAGCTTTTATCTTATTTGTACCTTTTTCGAATTTTCATTTTTGCTCATACAGGGTGGTCAAAAATGTACTTTTTCTCAAAAATTTCAAATGCATCACCCTGTATATTTGTGCAGGTTTGGATTCAATTTTTTATAAGCTTTTTGTTTATATAAGGTTTGATTCAGATAAAATCACTAGATTTTGAGTTATTAAGCTTTTAATAGAACAACACCAAAATTAAGGAAAAAAATCACATCATCCATGGAAACAAAAAAGAAAGAGTGGGCTAGTTCCATATTTTACAGATTTGACGTAAAAACTAATATTCAGAACAGTATAAATCAGCTTCAAGCGTAATAGAGAAAAACTATAACAACAACATAAACAAGCAACTATCACTACTTAAGACCTGATCTACAAAAAATGCTATTTGCGTTTTTGACTACCCTGTATGAGCAAAAATTGAAATTCGAAAAAGTAACAAATAAGATAAAAGCTGAGGTATCTAAGTTTTTTTATACAAAAGTCAGCACAAATTTAAAAATGGCGGACGGAGAGGTTGCTGAAGTGGGGGGTTTTTCTAGACAAAACACCTTATATCTCAGTAGCTAATTACCAAAACCCCATATGTTATATCAGTTTTCTTGATGAAAACTCACAACTTTGATATGTAGGTCGAAATTGGGCCACCCTGTATAATGCCCAATATTTTAGAAATGTGCCCTCAAATGTGATGTATAACATCCCATAAATAGATTTTCCCAAAATGTATCTGTTTATGAGTAATATTCCGTCCACACATGGATGGGCCACCCTGTATTGTAACTTTATTAGGTAATTCTTAGAATTATTTGCGATGAATCTTTTACCATTGTTTTTTATGGTTGAAGCATATCAAGCAATAACTTTGAAGTATGTCTCAGAAATCCAGACTGAAGCTGATCTGAATGCTAGTAAAATACGTTGGGCATATAACTGGTAGCTGTAAATGTTATGTTGCTGAAAATTTTGAGCTTACTTAATACACATATGATACAGTTCAAGATGACTCTACTGTATATCTAGTTATGATTCTTATAGCAGAATTAATCATTTCTTCCTCCTTATAGACTGACAGGTGAGTTTACGTTTAAGATTTTATTGATCTATATTTTTTTAGTCATTGGACATCGAAATTATGACAGTTCATAATCTGTCATCTGAGCAGTTATATGCTCAAGTATTATATTGATAGAAAAATGCAATGTCATGTATTAAACACTTCAGTTCATTATTTTCAAATTATTATTATTTCGCAATCCTGATCTGTACATACACGAGCATCATCGAATCTTTAGGACATTTTTACAAATAATAATATTTTGGTTTTAGTAGTTTAAATAACAAAACATTCCTTCAGGGAAACGAATTTTTAGAATGGCCATGTAGCGTATTTCCTCAATGTGCAAGTAATGGAACATCTATAAAGGGAACTCCGGCAACTAATTTCTGAAAATTATTTGATATGCATTGTCAGTATTTTGTTAAAATATGTCTTGAAGATTTGATAATTGACACGTTTTATTTTTTCTAGACACCCTCTTACCTGAACCTCGCCAAATGGTTCCCTTTCCCTAATCCCACTTTCGGAGACGAAGAACTGCACAGTAGACTTAGGAACAGGGTAGAGTAGTGTATATTTATGCGTTGTTTTTGTAGATGTTGTAATATCATCACAATTTTTCCCTTTATACCCACTTAAGTATAACGGCTATGCACGTTTGCGCTATGAAAATAATCTTTTTAAAAAATTTTGAAATTAGATTCCGATTTTTAATCAACCTGACTTCTTGTGAGCCACTTGAACAAAGTCGCTAGGAGTTTTTTTTCTGAAGGACATATTGAAATAAATTAACGAGATTTTTGAAATTTTCTCATTCATTCGACATTTAACTCATTTGATGTAAAGTTAGAAATAGAAATTTTGGAGGTGCAATGGAAGAAGTATAAAGTTTGGCTTAATAAGGTGTCCAATTAACTCCTTTAGATCACTTTAATGCAATAGATCTAATTTTTTCTACCCTGTATAATAAATTTTAAAAATGGTATTTTTTAAAAATTATTTGAAAAAACTGTTCTTCATTGAGATGCGTTATATGATTTACACTGCAACCGATCCCCAAATAGTTCTAGAAAGAACTAGAATAAGTTACTTATACAGGGTGGCGCATCGAAAACGAAACAGACGTATTTACTGGCAGCTCAGGTTTTTTTTTTGAAAAACGATCAGACCCGTCGATTTTGTTTTCGAGGGGGACACAAGTTTGGCAAAAAATCACGTTAGCACGTGCAGCCCCTTGGACGGGGGTGACACCAACCCTAAAATCTTAAATGGAAAAGGGGGTCGAGTGATACCTTATTTTAAAGGTCTTTCAATTCCCTTTATAATGATATAAAACTAAAGTACTTCAGTTCAGTAGTTTTGAAGATTTTGGCATTCCTTAAATATCCATTAACAAAGATGTATTGTTATTATAATCCTTTGTTTTTTAATTGTTAATCAAGCGCTGCGCTCAAAAAATATAAACTAACTGACGTAGAAAATGCAACACCGACTAGGAGTGATGTAATTTTGAACATACTTTTACAAGTTTTAGGTCTACTTGGTGTGTTGGATCGCAGGTCATCTGAATTTGTGTTCGTAGAGCCTCCAATCTTTGTGGTGTAATGAATTTTGCAGCCTTCTTCCCATCATGTTCCATACATGTTCGATAGGGGAAACGTCTGGGGATCGAGGAGGCGACAGAAGCAGATTCTCTCTGTACGCTTCTAAAAAGTCTAATCTAACACGTGCGAAATGAGGTCGTGCATTGTCCTGATGAAAAAGTTGATCTCGACAACATCTCATTAAAGTCGCTTCGTTTCGATTCACCCTTTTAGCGATTTCTCAGACTCGGAATGTGGAGCGAAATTTGCGCGTCTGAAAACTCTAGGCATGATAATGCAATGAAACAATTGGAACGAGCATATATTATGCAAACATGTTCATATTGTTCGGTTTGCGTTGAACATTTTTAGCGTTTACTTCCATGATAGCAAATATGCTTACAAGTTTTTATCAAAATTCAATAAATAATTCTGGGTGTTGCATTTATCTATCTTCAACTTAACGCTCTTGATTAACAATTAGAATTAAATGTTTACGATAACAATATCCCTGCATTGCATTTTGATTTTGTTAATGGGTATTTGGAGAATATATAACACTAAAATTTTCGTTTTTCAAATTTCTAAACTGCCTACTTTTTGATGTAGTTCTACACCGGTCACCTTTCATATGATATTCTAAATAACTGCAATAGCGGACGTTACGAATTTGCCTGAGGCGATCGTCGAATAGCGTGGGCGTACGATCAAAGACGAAGCTTACCTAACGGTGTATTTACTGATAGACAAATCGGAAATTAACTCGCGAATGACTGATGTATGTATCAATAGGCTACGCAAAAAGCTGGATATTTCCAATCGCGACGTCGGATTCATGAGTTTATTCCAATATGCAGTTTGTTTGAACTTACTAAAAATATCATGGCTCACTTTAACTGGACTGCAGAATGTTGATCATTTGAACATCGAACTTGGCATCGAGCTTTGATAGATAAACGAAAACCGAATAAAAATTTTGTAATGTGCAGGGTGGGCCATTAATTTGAGCGGATTTTGAAAAATCATAGAAAAACTACACAACACAGGGAAGATAATTTATATGTTTTAGACATATGGGATTTTCATTTTTTTAAATAAAATCGTTGAGAAGTGAGTCATTGAGACGCGCTTCCGAATCGCGACTTCAAATTCGTGAACACTCGCTGGCACATCGCTCATGGGATAGCTGACTTTTTGGAAATGTTGTGGGCAATCGTAATCGGTTTAAACACGGCTCTTGAAGTATCCTCAGAGAAAAAATCGAGTGGATTGAGATCTGGCCTCCGGGGAGGCCACAGAATGTCCCGTCGTCGCGATATCAGATTTCCACTAAACATTTCGTTTACAACTGCTAAAGGCACGTTGGCGGTATGGTATGCCACGCCATCTTGTTGAAACCAGGCCCTGCTTTAGTAGGCTTCGAAATTATGCAGTTGTATACAGAAAGCGATAAGAATTTACTGTTACAATCTGGTGCTGATCGTTTTCGAAGGATTGGATCCGAAACTGTAGCATAAGGCGAATGCAAAGGTCGTTGGTGTTTTAATTTGTGTTTTTGTGCGTTCCAATACCGTTAATTTTGCTTTTTGTCAAATATGCTTCATGGTGACTAAATTTCCGAGCACCAAACTACTTACCAGCAATTCGTACGTCTTTCTGGTCCACCCTGTATAAAATATAATTTTTGGGAGATTCGGATTTACTATGCAAAAAAATGATTTGCATCAATTTGATCAACTGACAACAGAGTTTTAAAGGTTTTGAAAGTAAAAAAAACTTTATTATACAATGATATTATGAAATGATTTGAAATATTATCGATATTGAGATTACAATCCTGTAAGCCCCTTTCTATAACCTATCCTCGCAATAATTCTTTTATAAGTTATCGTAAAAATAAGTATGGCTATTCGTTGATATTTGAGACACAATGTACGAAAATTGTGAAATCGTAATATTAACAATTAATATTATAAATTTTGTAGATTTTTTTGCACAAGATCTCCTCATTCGCTGCAAAATTCTTGATCCGAGTTACCAGGTAAAAAACTGTAAATATTGAAAGATTCTGCTATCCCAAATCCATTGGTAAAATCACTTTTTCATTTTTTGTAAACTGAATCACTGTCGAGGTCACGGAATTTTTGACATTTTTGGTGAAAATATAAACCTATCTAGTGGCGTCCTAGAACTTTCGAAAACGCAGGATAAACTCTACATCCGAAATGAATTGCACTTTCACCATAATGTGTAACATTCTTTGTATACTTGAAAGTTCCGTGAACTGTGTCGTTTTTTTATGCACTTGTTGAAATTTTGAGTGTTTGAATCTTGAATTCGTATTTTCAATGTCTCCAGGTAATATTTACTCAGAGCGCTTATGTACGTAGATTTGCACATTCACCCGATTTTGAATATTCAGCAAAATGAGCTTCGATTTAATCTCCTGCCTAAAAAATATCCGTAAATGAACTTAAACCTGCAGATATGTTCTTGCAGATGGATTTCGAACAACAGCAGAAGATTTTCCGAAAAAGCGCAATTGGCAATTCGCAAGTAAAAATACGAACTTGTTTATTCCCATATCCCAATACCCTTCCAATATTTTGCAGCCATCATCATGGATCATTGATTAGTTCAGCATCATATCACTTCAGTCACGTATCATCATCGCTTTTCTTTTCATGTTTTACGTTTGAACACTAAGAGCTTGGCTTTGGAGCATTTTGAAGTTATGTGTGTAGTACAAGGCGCTAGAATATACTTTGTTTTAACAATTTGCATGTTGATCGCTAAAAAACTACTGGATGTTAATATTGTGCAAGCTATTTAATGAAATATGGATTTTTTTATCCCTCACGTAATATTATTCTAGGGCAATGTAAGTCGAGTCTCACTTCGAGCTGCGTTATGCATACTAAATTAACGTTTTATGGCGGGAGTGCTAGGTTATAGCTCAGTGACGTTAGGTTCTGTCGAGGTACAAACAAGGAAGTAACTCCGCACTGAATTTTTTCTCGCGAATTTCTGATTTGCCGTGTCCGTACAGGTCGTACGACACAAAATATGCAAAAAGGTTTCTATAAACGTGGGTCCGAAAATACAGTTTTTCAAGATGGTGATAAATAAAAAAAATTAATATCTTAAAAAATATTTACTTGCTTCTGTTGAAATTTGGCAATATTATTTGTTGTATTAAGAGGCTAATTTGGCGCTAAATGGATTAATGTTATTAGTTCCAGTGGCGTCCCGCGGGCACATTAGCAAATATTATTGGCCACAAAATGTACGCAACTGCCTTTTTTAACTTTATAATTTAGTTTAATTAAGCATCTAAAAATACAACTTCTTTGCCTCTTGTATTTTTTTGTATCACTCCGGTTTCCAGAAAAAAATAAAAACCGTTTTAATGGTCACTGCACCAAATTTTTTTGCTAAAAGAATTACAAGTGCCTTTAAAACAATAAATCAAAAAAAATTCCAGGAAAAAGTGTTATTGCAATTTTAACAATATTACCAAATTTCAACAGAATCGAATAAATATTTTTTAAGATATCATTTTTTTTTAATTTATGAACCGCCCCCCATTTAATCCATTCAAATACCAAATTCTAAACACACAAATGTATTCTGAGTGGGATTGAAAATATCGAGTATTCGAATACTACCCAATTCTGCGCTAAATGATTGACATACTGTTTACTGATGATGACATTTCGGCCAAATCAACAAAATATATTGTCAGAATTGTCAAATTCTACTTGAAATGCTGTAAAGTCGTAATTAGCAAACAGCATGAAACCAACGCTCAAGGGGTGCCTGTTGTGCTATTCTAAGACGATTTTATCCTCCGATGATCTTGGAAAAACTGCTTCGTTATAAAGATACGGGGCAACGAAATTTCTGGTGCAACTTAAAGAGCTCGTCAATGACGAGGAGGTTGTAGTCTTACTTTTTACCAACAAATATCAAACATATTTTTAAGATTGAGACGCCTCGAGTGTTAGTTCTACAGGGTGCGGCAGAGAGGACGGACGTTTTTGGGATGGGTAGTACTCTCCGCCTCCGTCTACGAGAGAGGTGGGGAGGGTGCCGTTTGACTCGTGAGATCCTAGCATTATTTTACCAGTTGTCGTTATGGAGCCTTGGTCGGTGTAGCACCGCGTTTTCGCCTATGATTGTTTCGTCCGAAATAATGAGTCAGTCATCGTCGTACAGCGTGAGTTTCGTCGCCACTTCAACGTTCATCGGAATAGAGCTGTTCCCTCTCTAAACACCATCCTTCGTTGGGTTAAATCACCTTGCAGGCGTGGTGAACTGATCAACAGAAGACCAAGAGGAGCGTCGCGAACTCCTGAAAATGTTGAACGCATTCGACAGGTCTTTCTTCGCAGTCCGACTCGATCTGCCCGGAAACATGCTGCTGCACTTCGCCTTAGTGATCGTTCGGTAAGGCGAATTTTGCATATGGATCTCCGCTTTCACCCCTACAAATTGGCCATTGTGCAACAGTTACAGCCCGGAGATAATGCACAACGAATGAACTTCGCACGTGAGATGGAAGCACTGATCGATCAAAATGAGAACCTCATTTTGTTTATGAGTGACGAAGCCCACTTTCACCTAAACAGCATGGTTAACCAGCAGAATTGTCGTTATTGGGCTAATGCAGCAACAGTTACACGAAAGACCGCTGCACAGCCCAAAAGTAACGGCACTGCATCAACGATTTCGGCCACCACATGCCTGATCTGATTTTCCACACTTTACTGTCTCAAAGGCTATTTCCTTGTGAACCTGATTCCATAAATTTGTTTTCGAGTAACAATTAACTATTTTATGATTTTTTTAAAACCGTCCATCCTCTCTGCCGCACCCTGTAATAATAAAGAATTTAATGGAAAATGTTTCCCTGTATATAAAAAAAACAGTGTTTTTTTCATTAGCGTCAAAGGATAAAGTAGTTGTTCATAATTTTAAATGGAGTAAACGCACTCTTGGTTGGTTAAATGGATAAACCGCCTAGCGGTTGACTTGGATCCTTGCCTTGGCCTGCTCGATCACCAGATTTCAATTCTCTAGATTTTGATGTTTAGCGCCAAGTGAAGGAGGATATTTTATCGAAAAAATTGTGCATTTGATTGAAGAATTCTTGTATATCTTTTTTCCTAATGTTACTGGGGTATCAACGCTGCTCTAGGTACAAAATTTGCATGTTGTTGGCTGTTACATGGCGTCATGATGGCGAATATTTATGCTTTTATGCAGTCGAAGTGAGACGGGTCGCTTATATTTTTGATGTTTGCAAAAGTTTTGCTTTGTTGGTATTCATGAGAGGGAACATCAGACAGAGCTAAGATTTCCATTATCTGGAATCGGACTTCATTTTAATAATCTGCGGCTAGATTATGCGTAAAGAGCTGGATGTTTACTGAAAAACATGCATTTTGTTTAAAGTATTAGATACAAAAAGTACATGCGAAAAGGTGAAGCAGGAAAAAATTGAGAATGTACTTGACAGAAATCTTAGCTCTTCGTTGGTAATATTCAGTGTGTACTTGCGTTGTTTCCAAAGTGGCACTCTTAATATTTTTCAAGCTGAATATTGGTAGGTTGTGACACACGTTTAAAAAAATCGTTTTATTCTAATTGCCTAAATTGAAAGAAACGTTGCAACGATTTCAAGTATATTTATTGTCGAAACTACTGTAAAACAAATTCATCGATTCGAAAAGGCAAAACATAACCATGATACAAGTACACACCAATATTAGTTTCTCTCTCATAAAAAGTGTGAACCTCTGCGTGGCCTCGTCCATAGGCGCGCGGTAAGGTTTCGTGGGGGGCGTATAACCCAAGGATGTAAAGTCAGGTTATGTCACTATCTGTCTCGTACCAAAATGGAAACGAGTAGCATAGCACACTGTGCACCACTGCTAATTCGGCGGGATCCGCTCGTATCGATACTAAGACGCGTTAGCAGTGGCGTACGATGAGCTATGGTACTCACTTTCATTTTGGTACGCGAGTATAGTTGCCTGATGTTATCTGATGTACAGCAGTGAGGTGTTTTCCAACCCGAAAAATTGCAACTTCAATAGCAGGAGCAGAGTTTTATTTTTCGCCCATATACACATTTGAAATTCATACCCAACAGAGAAATTCCTCTCCATTACTTGCTAGAGCAATCAACCGGTTTTTATTTTGGTTGTAAATATAACATTACCGTAAATTTCGTGTTATGGGGCATTTTCCGTTTCAACAAAATTTTTGATAGCTGTAATACGACCATTGTCTTAAAGATGATACAGTTTGTTATTGGCTTGTATGTTGATGAGAAACGTGTTTGAAATTTTTACACTGAGAGACAATTCATGTAAATCCCTTGAAGAAATACCAATCAATCAACATTTACTCCAGGTACGTATAGAACGTGGCCATAGTAGTCGTTTCAAAAGTGGGGTCATCACTTTAGCGTGAAATTTAGTTTGAATTTTGTAAAGGATTTTTGATTTTGCCCACTCATGGATAAAAGAAGAAATGCCCGGTATACACTTTTTAGAAACAGCATATTAATAGTTTATCTTTTTTCGCCATTTTCAGAGAGAAAATGCTATTTTTTTTTAGCAAAAATCCCTACTTTGCGTTTTAAGTATTCTAGTTTCGTCACGCCTTTGACCGAGATTCAAACTTTGCCGGTTGGTTTTCGATACACAGTAAACTTTATGGAAGCGAAATATTGAAGAAAATCTTGAAAACACTCCATTTGCCCTTACATGACGTCACAACGGTCCTGGTGACACAACCTGGTCTTGACATCCTTGCGCGTAACCCGTGTGATGACTAACCGATCGGTTTTCTTCTCTTCTTTGTTTGGCGTCGTTCCGCCACCGCAACCGCTTGGTGGCTGTCTATGCATCGGTCATCGTATGCAGTTATTGACGTTATGGTCCTGGTTGCCCGTAAGGATCACCATGTACCAGCCGATCTTGCTGTACACCACCGAGGAACACGGGTGCTCTCTGACTACCTTCTATGTCAGGGTGGAACAACACGAACCGACGCTGCTTATGATCAAAACTTGCAACAACGAGGTGAGTGAAGAAATGGCAACCATGTATCGTCAGTACAGCGTTGCTACATACAGGCTGTTCGAAAAGTTACCGACACCCCTCATTCTCAGAAAATACTGATCAAGGAAATTTTTATTTAAGCAATGTAATAATGCTTTTGATTTTCTCAAATGGGACCGTATTCTTTTTACCTCGGAAACCGAAAGAGGTGAAAATCCTAAGTTTGGATATGGCCTGGCTAAAAGTATAGGGTCCCATTTAAGAAAATCGCTTCGACCTTCAAACGACCTTCATAGTCATTGTCAAGGTCATATACAAACTTAAAATGTTCCCCTCTTTCGATTCCTGGGGTCAAAAGTATAGGGTCCCATTTAAGAAAACCGTATTGACCTTGAAATCACCTTCATGGTCAAGGTCATTGTCAAGGTCAAATTCACGGTCAAGCACATATTCAAACTTAGAAATTTCTTTTCTTTCAATTTTCCTAGTCGAAGTACTGGATCCTATTTAAGAACATCAAGTTGACCTTGTAACGACCTTCATAGTCATTGTCAAGGTCATATCCAAATTTAAAATTTTCCCCTCTTTCGATTTCTGAGGTCAAAAGTATAGGGTCCCATTTAAGAAAATCGGGTTGACCTTGAAATCGCCTTCATGGTCAAGGTCATTATCAAGGTCAAATTCATGGTCAAGCTCATATTCAAACTTAGAAATTTTCCCTCTTTCAATTTCCCGAGTCGATGTATAGTGTCCCATTTAAGAACATCAAGTTGACCTCGTAAATGACCTTCATAGTTATTGTTAGAATGTTGCCCTCTTTCGATTTCTGGGGTCAAACGTAGAGGGACACATTTGAGAAAATCAGTTTGACCTTGAAATGACAGTCACAGTCAAGGTCAATTTCATACTCAAGCACATATCCAAACTTAAAAATTTTCCCTCTTTCAATCTCCCGAGTCAAAGTATAGGGTCCCATTTAGGAACATCCAGTTGACCTTCAAAATGTGTATGTACCCTGTTCAGTGCATTATTAATATAACTATTATGATAAGGTACGTCAAGTGAGAAACATGTATTATAGCGGCAAGAAGCATTTTGCCTTAATCTTTTATCTCAAACCTTGTTAGCGTTTCGTTAAAAAAAACACAGCACGGTTTCCTGATTTGAATGGCAAAACCGCAAAAACTTATCGTTCCCAATTTCGACCCTAGATGCCTTACTCAATATTTCAGAATGATTAGCGCGTCCGCACAAGTTCGGAATTCAGTTTCAGAATAGCCCAGAAATATTAGGCTTTTTCTGAACAAAAATCGCATTTTGCGTTTTTTAGCAGATACATGTCTAATACTCCTGAACTACTCCTGCCTGAAATAGCCCAGGAATATTAGACTTTTTCTAAAGAAAAAAAAAACAGGACTGGCTTTTTTGGAAGAAAAATTCCACTATTCATATGGTTGATATCTTAATTCCAAACCTGTGTCGCTTAGTTGAACCGGATCGTTCAGACGAAACCTTTTTTCAAATCATAATCTATATCAAGCTAGCTTTTGTCTTTTATATTATGTGCATGCACAACCAGCTTCCCGTCCTTCCAAAATATTACGCTGATGCAGACATCCAACATGCTCTAAACTGCATAAAATAGAATTTTCTCTAGTTCAATTTTTCATATCTCTTCTTTCATAGTGGAATCTGCCAAAAATGAGAAAACTGTTTTGAGCTCTCACACTAACGGAAATGATTCGACTTGACGATCCATTTTTTTTTTTATTTGAATCAGGTATTTGGCGCATACTGTTCCTCAAAATGGGGCGAACGAAACATCAAAGACGACAGGGGCAACAGACAAGCGTACTTCGGTACGGGCGAGACCTTTTTGTTCTCGCTCTACCCAGAAAGAGCGAAGTACCCTTGGGTCGGGATGGACGGTGACAAGGTGCACCACGCTGCAGAACTGTTCATGGCCGCTGATACCAAGATGATAACTATCGGAGGAGGGTAAGTTGTGATCTAGTGATAGCACCCAGTTGTTTGAGACGAGCACCAACACGCCGTAGATTTCACCGGTTAACTCTTATCTGGCAGCTAACTGTATGTATAACATATAGCAGTAAACTGCCAGATACGAAGTAACTAGATGTGGACCTAAATAACGCAGTAGTTCAATATACGTAGTCCATATCTTAGCCTGTATATAATAAACTAGTGCATACAGAAACAATAAACTGGTGCATACAGAAACAATAACATAAGAAAGCAGACGGCTTCAGTATCTTTGACAAATAATCTTGCAAAGTTAATTTCAGCAGACTATACAGGGTGTCCGCAAAGTTGGGGTTTTCCTTTGCACGACGTGTAGATCTTGAAAACATAAGCAATTTTTCTTAGTACCATATACACCAATGTCTTAAGGGAACCGAGATAAAGGGCTCTGCAACATCAACAATATCTGAATACCGTCCTGTAGCCGCGACTCGCGACATCCCCGACTGGTACTAGGACACTAGCTCAACCCGACGACAGAACTGGGTCGGGGTCAGGGTGTCAGGTCAGTATGCAACCTTCAACCGACGGTTACGGTCACGCGTGTAGAGGTAAACGAACCCGTATAATCGATTGCGTTTCAAAAAACAACAAGCACTAGAGACGTGGCTAGAGAAGTGCAAGTATCAAAAACTAAAGTGTGGCAAACGCTGCGTGAAGAGGGGCTGTATCCGTTTCACGTCCAACGTGTACAAGCCCTTCAACCTGACGATTTTCCACCAAGGGTGCGGTTTTGTGAGTGGTTGTTGCATCAACATGACAATAATCCGGACTTTTTGAAGTGCATATTGGTGACAGACGAATCTACGTTCACGCGTAATGGGGTGAATAACTTTCGCAACACTCATGTTTGGTCAGTAGAAAATCCGCACGCTGTCCGTCGGGCACATTTTCAACAAACATTTTCGGTGAATGTTTGGGCTGGCATGGTGAACGGTATGCTCATTGGACCATTTATTCTCCCAAATCGATTGGACGGGATGCAATACCTAGACTTTTTACGCAACATTTTGCCTTCCTTGTTAGAAGATGTGCCATTAAGTGTAAGACAATCAATGTGGTTTCTGAACGATGGTCATATTTGGCACCTCTGTTCGTGGTCTGCACCACCGTCGGCGTCTGCTCGGTAGCGCATCAGCTGATTTCATTTTCTGTTGGAGCGGTATGATTTCGGGCAGAGACGTACTTAGCCCTTCTCGTCAACTGGAGAGTGAGTACTTTTTCCTTTATTTTTTTTACTTGGTCGCCCTCGTTTCACTACACATTACCTTTGTTATTTCAAGGGTAGTTGTTTCTGAAAAGAAAAACCCCAACTTTGCGGACACCCTGTATACTTGAATCCATACGGCGACACCATGTAGTCCTGTTCCAGCTGTGTACCTGCGAAGTTAATTTTACCAGACTATTCATTAATCCCCTCGACGGGATCGACTACTCCCGTTCGAGATGTTGGCCATTTATACTTGAGAAGTTAATTTCACCAAACAATATCGTTTAATCGATATACCTGAGAAACGCGAAATTTCGATGCAACTCAAACGTCCACCTGATTGATTTTTGAATGAACGCCACGCTTCTGTCAGGGTTCAGATATTAGGAAATTATTTAACAACTCCTTAAGGCCAAGCAGTATTTTGATGACTGTGGCCGCTACAAATGTGATGTAAAAATACATTGATCGATGTCAGCGCGTCGGAATCTGGATCGAAACCATCGGAATCGATTCCTTCGAGATGCTCGGTATCTATTTCTTCCATGTCCTCTGCGGTATTATTCCTATAGAACGACTCATTCAGGATGGACCAAGCTGCAGCTTTGAGTTCTCCATCGTATATTGATGTAAAGTTCGTTCATAAGACAAGCTACACAGCAGGACGGCGCGTGCCACACCAGCAGCGAAACAATCGATCTCTTACACACTAATTTAGCTTTTCGCGTTATCAGCCGTTTTATACCTTTTCATTTCAAACACTATGAATTTTTTGCTGGAGAAATATTCGTGCATAGGAGTATCCACACTGTGGCAGCATCAACTGCAAGCTACCAATCAGAGAGCTACCCTTATTTCCGAATTTTCTATAGAATTCAGTCATTCAGATAGCTTTGATCACTTCTGTAGGATTTCACATAATCCGTATTATTGACGCTGAAGGCCAATGTCACCAATCCCTGATATTAAAATGAATATGAAGTCTAACGTGAATAGAGAAAAGTATATTGAACTATTGAGTTATTAAAATAGTTATGTGCAGCGGAGCCCATGATAAATTCGAATATTATTCTCAAAATGACACAATGGGTAATATTTGCACTTAGGAACTTTTGATTTAAAAAATATTTAGAAAAAACTGAGAAATGTTGATGCAATGCCCACATTATGTTCAGTTTCATTTTTGTTTTGTTATTATCAGCACACGATAGGGTACTCCATTTGTTTTCGTTAGTTTCATTTGTTTTTGAGTCTTTTTGTTCGATACTTTATTTTGTTTGCTGTTTTGTTCTGTTATACAAAAAAAAACTCTGGGTCCATATCGCTGCGAAAATTGTCAAATAATACGCGACTGTTAGCTAACATTATTTGCAGCAGTGTGGATCCGGAGATATACAGGGTGTTGCAGAGTATTGTCAGAAAAATTAATGGGCAAAAATTACAACCAGCAACCAGTGTCCCCTTTTGGTATAACAATATTTTGTAACACCCTCTATTTGGATATTAATACATTTTGTGTTACGACATGGCTAACAACCTGTGTGAATACTAATATCATTACAATTTTTCTATTGTTTTGCACATATTTTACTGCACAAATGATCATAAAGCTGCATTAATTTTGACAATATGTCGATTATTACCTAATCTCCAACATTTCTTGTTTTCTTAGTGATAAAACAGCGATTATTAAGATAATGTAAATTAATTGCATTGGTATTATAATGGTAAAATTGATTGTTTACAATGGAATGCAGACAGCAAATAAAATATAAAATTTACGCCAAAATGTGTATGTACCCTGTTTAGTGCATTATAAATATAATAACTATTAGGACTAAGTACGTCACTATCATTGTTAACGTTTCGTTCAAAAACATACAGCATGGTTTCCTGATTTGAACGGCGTATAGGTAAGAATTTTTCTTGCTAAAAAATCGTAATTTGAATGTTTAGCAGAAAAATGTCTAATACTCCTGAGCTATTCCGGATCAAAATAGCCCAGGTATATTAGACTATTTCTGCAAAAAAATACGTAATTTGCATCTTTTGCAGAAAAATGCCTAATACTCCTGAGCTATTACGGCTGGGCATAGCCCAGGCATATTAGATTTTATGTGACCAAAAACTGCAAGCTTTTTTTTTAAATGTCCAATTTTCCTAAGCTGTTCCGGATGGTAATTCCAAACGTGTGCGGCCACACCTCACTAGTCGCGGAGCTGTACAAAATCGTTCATACGAAGCTTTTTTTTAAATGAATCATGATCCATATTAAACTAGCTATTGTCCTGTACGTACACAAAAAAGCAGCTTCCTCTACAATTTATTCAAATCTCTTAAATTCCCCGTCTAAACAAACACCAGCGAGCGACTTCAAATTTGCGCGCTGTCGCAAATGTCTGGGCAGGCAGCAATAAGCAAATAGAAGCGACGATCGAGTGCTCTTGTTTGTTTTGTTGCGGAGTAAATGAGGTTTGAATAGTCTAGCAATTCGTGTCACGTCATCCTGACGACCAGATGTATTCGGAATAGAATAGGAAGATTAAACGTCATCTGCAAAAAAAATGCAGTTTACATTTAAAAGAAACCAAATCCAATATTCCTGGGCTATACCGAAAATAGACCAGGAATATTGGACTGTTTTGTGAGACAAAATGCAGTTGGCATATTTTCAACATACGGGACAATCTACTATGTGACTGATTCATCAGGGACGGCCAAGCGATCTGGATAGACGAGAACATCCGTTACGGCAAAACAGACCATTGCGTCACCTTTAACAACCCACCACTCTGTCCCAGCGGAGATTTCGAGATCAGGGTGCTGGAGGTGTACGGATTCGCCAGGGACCAACTCAGTTAGGCTAACACCAGAGGTCAGATGCCTCGACGGTAATAGGACCGTTTAGGCTTATGCAGACCTGTTGAAGTAGGTTTTTATTTTTTTTATTATTTTGCTTGCTTTTTATGGTAGCCGACTCGCGGTGGTGGTGATGGTTTGGAATGTTGGAGGTTAGGTAATGGGAATGTGTGCTTATATGGTACAGGGGTTTTTTGTTGCGCAAAAACATGTTGTGGCGTCATCAAATTATTCTTTTCATGCATCAGGTATAATCGATCGCAAATTCGCCACATATAATAACCACGAATTAGCCCTTGGACTATCTATTCAATTAGGAAAGTGAAGCGTTTCTTTGTGGTAATTGTAACATTTCGTATACCAGTCTCTGCGTGAGATAATATTTAGCAGGGTTCTTCAACATACAGGGTGTAAACGTTATGATAGTCATTATTTAAATGGGTGATAGAGGGGGTTGAAAGAAGCAAAAAGTTTCATATAACTTGGGGGTCAAAACGGCATTTTTTTAGAGAAAAGCGACATCTCGGCGAACTTGTTGATTCGAGAACATTGTAAATAAACACGACGACGTACGCGAACAATAACTAACCACTGTTACCGTTTGCGATCGATTGCCGGTTCGATAAGAGCGATTAAAGATCGACGCGATGTTGTCATGTGTGTTTTAAATACTTAATTTAATGAAACTTACTGACTACAAATTTTGGCTGAATTTACTTAATGCCATTTATTTGTTAATTACCCAATTTAAAAATGTTTTAGATTAGATTCTAAAAGTTAGTAAGATTGTGGTGATTGTGGTCGATATAAAGCACTTAAAGTTGTAAACTATAAAGCCATTTAGACAAAAATCTATTGACTTTTCGGCCATGGGTCATATGAACTTTTTGACTTGTTTACCATAACGTTTACACCCTGTATTTTGTGGACCAAGATATTGCTTCATCTGTATCTGCCTAACTGCGAGGTACCTATGGCTTTTTGGTACCTAATATTACGAAATACAGGTGTAGCACTCACCAATAGTTTTTGGCATTTTGGAAGCCCGGATGTGAGGGTCTTTGCTATATGTTTACTTCTTTAGCTTTGGTATCACTTTAGAGGTGTTAATGTAATATGTTTTTGAACAGGGAAGGTCAGGCGATTTGGATGGACGAGAACGTCCGTTACGGCAAAACGGACAAATGCGCGACCTTCAACAACCCCCCACTATGCCCTGGCAGAGATTTCGAGATCCGCGTCCTGGAGGTCTACGGATTCGCGACTGACCATTAAATTAAGAACAGCGAACCAACCTTACGCAAAATACATCGATGATTACCTGCTCTCAGACAGCACACCAAAAATGCTATTTGAAAAAAAATACGCCGGAATTCCAAACCCAGATCAAAATAGGGGTATCTTGAACGTGTTTTTCACTCTTGGATCGGAGTTGGTTCCCAGAGTTTCGCCCACTGAGGGGAGGGAAATCGAAGAGAAGAGAAGCGAGATTATTTTACACAATCAAATGAGATACCCTGCACAGTGTCTTTCGTGCCGCTTCGCCTCAGTGGGCGAGTAACTTTAAGGTACATGCCCACAGAGGCGAAACAAAACAAGTGAAATTTTCGTGTAATCAAACGGGTACCCGCGAAGGCACGAGAGATCTAGAGCAATCAGCAAAGAAAATTTATCTTTAGCTTCGATTTCCTTTGCACCGCTTTGTCTCATTGGGTGTACATGAGAAATGACTCGCGTATTTTTATCTAAAAAATACATTTTTTGTGTGTCCAGAAGTGTTTTTTGCGGTCTTTTAAGGTCTCCATACAGGTAAAAGATAAGATTCTTACCCGGTGCAAATACAAGACAAATTTAATCGACATACTGGTCATTGTGGCTTTTGATTATTTGAGAAAGATGTCACAACGACCAAAATTATTTTAAACTGAAAATACTACGCTTCTTTCAATCTGGGAAGCAAACATGCTACTCCAACCCGATTTTTTTGCCTTTATCTGGAGAATGTTTTTCAAGGTGCTGAATTCAGAATGAGATTTGATAAATCCTTGTAACGCTTCACGTTTTCTTGGAATCGGATTCAGCATCCTCAAAGTTCAGCTAGAGGCAATTCCGAGTACAAAATTACTGTATATGGCCTTTTTTTGGTCTAAAAAAATACACGTAAGGTCGCTGAATAAAATGACAAAGAGAGGAATGTACTAGATCTAGTCGTATTATATTTTAGACATGTTTAAGAGAAATATATCGTTTTAATATAACAAAGGTGCAAAAGACACACCATGATGCGCATACGTCTTATATAATTGTTTTACGTTTATTATGTATGTATAAAGTATATAATCGCCCTGTATATACGTATTATGTTTCATTTTTTGTGTATATTATCTCTCGTTGTATTCAATGCTGCTTTGTTGCGAGTAAAACTGTGCCAAAAGGTCACTAATTTTTAGTGAATGTTTTGCAAAAAGCCTTCAGACAGTGTGTATTCATATCAGTCAATACTGTACTACTTGGTATTTGACAAAAATCAATGAATACATGTTGCAATTATTTTTCAGATTATGCTTTAACTTGAAATTGTGCACCCTAGACTCGTAGAAAGACCAAAAGCACTTCCTACTGACATTTGAATTGAAAAAATGTCGCAATATACAACGTCACACACTGTATGACGGCTCAACAGTTTTGATTGTTTATATTTGTTTCTTTCATCTTATAAGTATTCAAAGTATTTATTATTTTATAGCATATTTTTATTTTATAGTCTAGTGAAGAGGAACGACTGAAATTTCGTAGTAAAAAAAAAGTATGCAATCACCAAAAGAATTCTTATGGTAACATGTGTTCCATCTTAGATTTTTCTATAATTAGAAATTTTGAGGAGGTGTTATACAGAGTGGCTCGCCTTTTGCAATGCGCATATCAATGAAATTTTTCATTATACAAGGTGTCTCAAACATTAAACCAAAATTAACTCTATCTGCGAAACGTATCCTAATGGTGATCAAACTTTCAAGGTTCTAAAGTATGATTAAATATTTTGCTCATACGGTTCCTGCAACACCCAACATGTCATCAAAGTTTTTTGTATCAAACAGTTTTCTGATCGAAGAAATTTTGGAGTCTAATGAATTTGGGACACCTGGTATACCAGAGATGATGGTAGTGTTTAGGATTTGTCTTGTCTGATCAATGACTACGAAAATTTAATATGTAGAAATAGAATAAGCGTTTAGATAAAGTTGAATGTTTTAGTATATAAAGTCAACAGAAGACATTTAAAAAAATTCTCCAAAGTTTTTCGACTAATTCTGCTATTTATTATTCTTGCTTCATTCCTTTAACTGACAAATTTTTTGTCTTCTGTGAGCAAGTGAGTAGTTCATCATCCCCAATACTCAAAATATTTTGCTCAAACACTAAATATTTCTAATATTTGTACACAACTTACATCATAGTCATTTCAACTAGAAATTATAGTTCAATCCCTTCAGCAGCCTAAACTTTGAAATCCTAATGCTTTGCCTAAATATCACTGTTAAGTGTTGTGAATTTTATGATACGTGTTATATTTTTGTTTTCAAACGTGTTAAGTTTGAACCTTATTTTGGCATTGCGTTCGTCTTCTCACAAAGTGACTATTTAACATTTAGAAATTTGACTTCAGCTTGACACGTCTATCTGATGAGAGTCGGATTTTCCATTCGAACATTTCAAAAGATTGAAATACAAAACGCGCCTCTATTCCACCCCAAATCTGCATTTGGTTGTTAGAAACTTTCGACTCGAATGACGTAAGTTGAGTCCAGTGGGAAAGTTCACTTTTTGATTTAAGAAAAAAAAAATACAAACCTAATGAATAGAAAATATTTATTACTATCAACATATTCGTAAATTCGACGGGTTTTATTTCTTAAATATCATTCCGTTCAAATGTTTGTCATCCCTTCAGACACACTCTTCTAATCACGCGCGCAAATTCTGAAACACTTATCTTGCAGAGTTCCGGAGGGATGTTTATTTCCCGTCGAATGTTGTCTTTACGCTCCTCCAGTGTTGTGGATTATTGGAATATACTTTTGACTTTAGATAACCCCACAAAAAATAATCACATGGCGTGAGGTCGGGACCTAGGAGGCTAGTACATGTCTCCAAACTTCGATATAATTTTTTTATGAAAAAGTGCTTTCACCGTGTCCATCGATTATCTGGAAGTATGGACAGTGGTCCCATCCTGTTGAAACCGTGTGTTTCTGTTAAATCGACGTTCTGTTCTTACAATAGGACCAAAAAAAAGTGTCAATCATGTCCTTGTATCGCTCGGAATTGACTGCAAATGCATGACCAGTAACCTTTGGACTATGTAGCTGTTTTACGTTTCTCTTTTAGGTTCGTTGGTGCCCAATATCTGCCATTTTGCTTGTTCACATAACTGTCTAAGCTAAAACTCGATAGCAAAAAGCACGTTGAGCTTTGGTCCAACGTTTCATTGTGACTATTTAACCCGCACGCCGAGCGCATCGATCAAGACCTCTCCCCACTTCCTCGCGCAATTCAAATTTGGAATGTGAACTTTCCCTGTATACAAACTTTATTGTTGCAGGTGCGTCACTTGGTGAAAACGAAGATATGCCAAAGGATGATTTAAAAATGATTTCAACTGGAAAATACAGCTACCTCCCTCCAAGAGACGGGCCTAAATCATGTTTAAGACAATTTTTCAATAATATTTTCAATCAAGATACTCAAAATAGATTTTCTCATTTATGGTACCAAATGAAAGACATATAGTAGTCAGTTTAGACAGCCTACATGATCTCTGTTCTGAAATAGTCGAATGTGCCATAACAGGTCTCCCAGTCTATAATTTTATTAAGTGCACACTTTTCTCGATATTTAGGAAACACTGTATCCAGAAGTCATTTTTGTTTCATCCTGGACTAAATAACGAGATATTTATTGACGCAACATAATTTGCTTCATAATTTAAAATGAGACAATTGTGTATACAAGCATCACACTGCGAACTGTTTTTCTTTTTTAGCTTTTCCTCATAGAATATTTTATATATTTGTTAGAGCGTATTTACTTTTTATATTTGTACATAGAATGTTGTATTATATGTGTATTTTTTGTTTGTATTTGTTATATGAATGTACTATGTACACAAATTAACTATTATAACGATTCTTCTTTGTGAAGTATTCCAAAATGTTTTCACTGAACCATATTTCATATGTAACTGCAACGAAATTCAATTTTGTAAATATGTCTTTATCCAAATGCACTTTTTGAAAATCTCCTGTACAGGGTGCGACTGATACATGTTCCTAAGCAAAAATATCAATAAAAGTTGCTTTAAGTGTTGATTTTGATCATTTATATTTTGTTGAAAACACACAAGAGGAGGATTTTTAACGCCATTCGTATCAAGCTGACAGAAATTTTAGATAAAGTATAGATGGAGATGAACCATTTTTTTAGAATTTTGTTATTAAAAACAATATCAAATATTTATAAGGGCTCATACACGCACGCGATTTGTGTCAGTGTCACACATTGACGCATTCCTCACACTATCACGAGTTACAAATCGTGTACGTATAGAAAAATGCTATATACAGGGTGTTCGACTCGCATCATTTTTCATCGTTTTTATTTTTTACTGTCTGTTGAGATGGGCCAAATAAAGTGCACATTATTGTTGCAAATTTTCCCTGCTCTACAAGGTGGCGTAATTTGAATTTCAAAATGATATTTCGTCTCTTGCGGTCCTTCATCAACTTTATTTTTTCTTATAGATACCATATTAGATTTTTGCACAGGTGAATAATTTTAATTCTGATTTCATACGTTGACGTTGTCAAATCGAAGTTATTTTGAAAAAAGCTTATTTTATCATAGTCGGCTATGTTTGTCGGAATAAAAAAAATTTCACCTGTGCAAAAATCTAATATGGCGTCTAAAAGAAAAAGAAATTGATTGAGGACAAGAAATGAAACGTCATATTGAATTTCTAATTCTACCATCTTGTAGAAGAGAAAAAGTGGCGATGTTGAAATATCCATTTTTTTGAAGCTCCATCTCAATAAAGTTAGGCCAAAATAAATACGATTTCGGGAAAATTCATCTCCGGAAATACTCTGAATTGTAAAGCTTTCCATGATCCATTTTCTTAGTTAGTTACTCTCATTTAACCGACTTCGTATCTCGCAGTTTCCGAGGTCCCAATGGTGAGAGAGTCGAATTTGAAACACCCGGTATAATCGGTTCGGTTTTGAAAATATCGCGCACCCTACCAGCTGAAAAAGAACGTTGCTGCATTTTTAACGAAAAGTCTGTAACGACATGTACATTGTCACACACTCATAGGTAATCCTAGTTCCTTTTTATTTTCGTCGTTCGTAACGAACGACGTGTTTATTAGATTGTGATGTTTAATTGTAATTATTAAATGTGGTATAATCGCATGAGTGTTTCAACACAACATTCATTTACAAGAAACTGGTACTATGATCAGCAAAGTTCAGTTGAGCAAAAATGACTAGGTGGACGAGATTTTCCGCCTATTTTATTTATACTAAACCACATATCACAAATCTTGTTCAAAACATACAACATAGTAGCCGAAGCGTTTGTAAAATTCCAACATCTGCAATTTTATCTACTGGCCAGTTAAAATATCATACATCGCAATGATTTGCTTTGGAAACAAAATAATAATCATCTTACGGCGGACCTCTCCGAGTATTTGGGTTAGAAAAAATTTAGACTTCAAGCTGACCATGTAAAACATTTGTACTACTCAATTTCAATCCCATAGTCCAGGATTAGGGTTGAGATAACATTTTTGACACCAAAGGAAATGGAGCAGCTCAATTTAACAGTAACAAGATTGTAAAAGGCTTTTGATTCCATTCTGTATAGGAGAAAGGGTGATCAGACATAATCACAGCACTTAGACCACATTGTACGTCCTCGCCAGAGATCACTCAAGGCTGGATCATCAGCCAGCCCAGACTTTTGATACTAATACCTTGAATTATGTTGATTCGTGTTGAAATTGTAAAACCTACACTACTCGAGATTTGAAAGAGGTTTGAAATTAAAATTTTTTCCAACTTCAAATGCCCCACGACCCCTTCCACCAACTATATCAGCAAAGTAAAATTGTACACCTCATTTAAAAGATATAGAAAATTATAGGCTAGACGCGTGTTTGCTGTAAGTTGCCAAAATGACAACGTTTTCCATGGAAAAGTTTTAGAATTGCCAATTTCCTGCTCTACCTAGTGATTTTTGCATATCTCATATTTACATTATACTGTTGTATCAGTGTCTCACTTGCACCTGTTACAACGTCTCTGCACTATATGTTGTATCTTGGATATACAGTGAATTAGCTTACAAAAAAACTGAGGTAATCATTACACAATAGCTTGAAAATAACCAAATGTTTTTTATCATTAAAATCGGACGGCCCCAAGTTATTACATGTCAAACTTTTATTCTATGTCTTGTTTTAGAGCAGTATCTCAACTGATTCATCTGTATATACAAGAAACATAACATGTAGCTCTCAACGTTGCTAAATCGATTCATGATGAGATAGCTTTTAGTTGAAATGTTTGTCAGAAAAGTAGCCAGATTCATCAAGGATATCTTTTGAATCTGGCCAAATAATGTGCCATCTACTAATATTGTGATGTCAAAGAGCATATTACAGCAACGTCTGAGCTAGATGTTACCATTTATTTTCATTTGTACTGTTTTCTGTTAGACGTGTGAGCAATAACTGATGTGATAATTGGGTTGAGAACTTAGGGTGTTTATATAATCTATCCATATTTTTTCTTGAAAATAATAGCAAAATTGTTAACACACACTGGAAGTGCAAATAGATAAATCAGATTTTAAGATACTAGTCTTCATAGTGCTTTCAATAATTCAAAAACCTAATATTTATTGACCATTGAGATACGAGTTAAACCTAATCATTCATCATTTAATTATTCAACAATGTTGCCACACTTGACCATTTTGACAGAGAGGCAGTGCTAAATAATTTGGAACAGTATTTGCCTGTTTGCCTCTTATTTATATATCCACCCAAAGGTTCTTAGTAAAAAATGTTAGTACTAGTACACATTTGTTTGTGCTTGTATCATAAGTATTTAAATACATTCTGACTGTTTCACACCTTTAGTTACCAAGACTTTTTCATTGTACTGATATATGTATATTATCTTTTCTCTGATGTATTATTGCTGCATTAGTGTTGTATCTCCTTGTATCATATTGAATAAATGTCTTGATACTAATACATCTTTTATTTCCTAAAAACATCCCCTTTAAAAAAAACGAACTATGGAGTTCAATTCTTGAAAATATCATCCCAAAATATAATCAAGTGTGTTACAGCTATAAAAATTAGAATATGAGACATTTAAATTTAAGTAGTTTATCATTTATTTAAAAACAGTTTCCATATGAATTATTTACAAGTTTGTGATGTCTTTTTATAGCATAGCATTACATGGAAAACATATTTGTTTTAAAGGAATGTACAATTTCTGAAAGCATACATATATGTTTTATATGTGATTACAATTCAGCCTTTTTAAATAACACATGGCTTTGGAATTATAGACGAGTTTTTTTTTTCAACAGTTTCCTAATCATACTGATAACTGATTATAGTCAATTGTAAATTATAAAGTTTTATGTGATGTAGAAAAACACAAATATGAATGGTAAACCTGCAACATGTTAAAATTGAAGCACCTGAGCAAAACAATAAGGTTGATAATGAACTAGTATCAAAGAGAAGTAAATCTCAGATATTAAACCTGGAAAAAAGTCTATGAAAATATGTGAAACATGCTCACACATCCTATTACAACTCCTGCTGTTGTTTCTGAAAATATTTCTTTTTCTCTGTTGGGTTAGGAATAATAGTGTCCTTTCCAGGTTTCCACTCTGCAGGGCATACTTCTCCATGTGTGTCAGTATATTGAAAAGCCTGTACTAATCTTATGGTCTCATCTACACTTCTGCCTACTGGTAAGTCATTCATTGTGATTTGCCTTACTATGCCTTTTGGATCTATTATGAACAAACCCCTGCAATCAAAGATCGATAAAGAACAAGTGTTACCATACTTGAAAAATGCTCCTTACCTCAGTGTGTGGCCTAAGTCATCTAGAAATACTCCATAATCTTTAGATATTTTGTGATTTAAGTCAGACAGCAGAGGGAAATTGACATTGCCTAAACCTCCTTCTTTTCTTGGTGTGTTGATCCATGCTAAATGTGTAAATTGTGAATCAACTGAGCATGCAACTACTTCTGTGTTGATTTTCCTAAATTCCTCAATTCTATCACTGAACGCTAGGATTTCAGTTGGACATACAAATGTGCTGAAAAAAAGAGGTAAGTATGAAACAACGGTCTCAAGTCTAATTGATAAAGTGCAAATTGTCATTTTCAATCCTTAAAGAAAATATGAAGAAAAAAATGTTGCCAAAGATCCTAAATATTCAAACATCCATTAAAAAAATTCCAAAGCTTCTTATGGGTATTGTAAATATTTGTTTTTTAATTGTTCATCACACACTCAATGTACATTCTGCATGAGCTTTCGAGAGAAGCAGCTGGTGGCTGCCCCTATGCTTTGAAAATAACTTTCTTTTCAGAATAACCCAAAAAAGTTGGTCCAGAGCCAAAAAAATAATTTTTGAAATTTATTCAAAAAATTTACAAATGATGTTTAATGCTACTTTGAGCCTGGGAACATGCAGATTCCTTAAAATATATAATACGGAATAATTGTTCATTTTCAAGATATTTGCATCTACTTTTTCCAATTTTACATAGAAATGCACTTTAGATTGCTATATTTTTGGTAAACTGACAATCTTTAAAATGAATATGCAAAAATACAGTGTAACTTACAAATCTAGTGGATAGAAGAAAAACACCAAGTATTTCCCTAAGTAATCTGTAGACTTCAGTTGAATAAACTTTCCATTAAAAACCGCAGTGCTCTCCCAAAATGGTGCAGGTTTTGAGACTATGGGGAAAAATAGTATTATATTATTTTTGTGGCATATTTTGTACAGTACTACTTACTGACTGCTTTAGTGTATTGTAATTTATGATCCGTCTGCGCTGGGTTGAACATGTGAGGATACACGGTGCCCCCGGCGTATGTTTGACAAGAATCCCCATCCTGAGAGCTAACGGACGATATACAACTGATAGAAATAAAAAACACTAATAGCGGGACTAGTTTCAACATTTTAAATTAAGTGAGGATCGTTAACAGTTTTACTTCAACGAGACTTGAAGTACAGGATAAGTTTCACCTAAAAAAAAACAGTCGCCACGACTACCAAAACAAAACCATGAACTTGAAAAAATTAAAATTTAAATGACAGATGAAACATTTGTCAGTCAGCTGTGTTCGCGGCTTCCTAGAGACTCGTTACGGAACGAGCTACATTATTATAGTCTAGTCGTCAAACATTCAATAGTGGCTTGCTTCTATATATACAGGGTGACTTCGAAGTTGAGTCATTTATTTTAACAGTGAGTAGATCTGATCAAAAGAAATGTTTTTTTCCTTTACCATTTTTCTGGTAAAATTAAAGTAACAAAGTTATAGCCCTTTGGAAGTTTGAGTACCGTCCTGTCTCAATAACATCATGTGCTCGTGTTTGGCAACAACGGATATAATCCACTATCGGTTCATCGCATCGGAAACAAAAAAGCGAAAGAATTTGGAACGATGTTTACTTTATTCAGTTCAGTTATACATACAATCAGTGTCAGTCATGTTTATGCGGATTGGTTTCCCAATCGAGTGCAACCAACCCCTCGTGCCTTTGTTAATAGTAGTACAACGGGCTCGTGAATCAGGTGACTTCAGACCTCACAGGGGACATCACGATCAAATACAGGTCCGCACTGAAATACTTGTCGGGAGGATACTTTATAAAACAAGGTAAAACATTTTTTTTATTTTTTTTTTATTTTTACACACATATTTTGGTTTATCTTCCTTCTACAATCATTATCTGAAAATTAATGACTCAACTTCAAAGTCACCCTGTATATATATATATATATATATATATGCAAAATGCTAAATATCCACAAATGGATTGAAGTACAAACAGTGAACCTGCTTCCATAAATGTACAAAAACAAAAAATGACTATGACTAGTATGCTATTAGCAAAGAATAAATTTGAGCAACTTTTCATCTTTTGTTTTAAATTTTGCATCAAGCTGAATTTTATATAACGAAGTTTAAAGTGCGCCAGATTGACCCAAAACGTTCTCTATCGGGTAACTTTCTGGTCTATATTTATGATTCAATCAGATGATTATTAAACTGCTTGATCACCCCATTCGCATTGATGCAGAAGACACCACCCCCCTCTCATCAATTTTTAATCGACGACACCTCGAAATCGGACATCTTCCTAAACATAAATTCTGACTTACCCAGAACTTATTTCTAGTTACGCTCTCGGTTCAGGAATGCATTACTTGGAACATTACGTATTCAAACTTAAACTCTGGGCGCTGAAGAAAGACATTAAACGTAAACAGTGATCAGCACGTGAACAGATCCCTCGAAAGCATCCACGGATATACTCCAGTCACTTTAGGTCTAAACATCCTCGGCAGTGTATTTCTAGTGAATCCACAGACCCTTTTTCGTGTCATCTTGACACTAGAAAAAGGATGACTGTTAAAATAAGTTACCTTGATCTTTCATGAGCTCCCAGTACAAAACATCATCGATATATTTTTGATGTAGGAACAACAAATTGGTTTAGAAAACATCCACTTTGAACCTAAATTGACTGGAGTAACATCGATCTACAGACAAATTCAAGGTCACTAGCTGTCGTCGGCGCTCTACGAATCTGCACAGGTTTGGACTTGTAAACGTGATTGTAGATGACACGACAGGCATCTAACAGTTAATTCACGCACAGGATTGCATTGCATACGCATTACGCATTCAGTAGCGTATACTCGTTTTTCGCGAGTGGAACGTTTTGTTTATATATTGCCTAAGATACGATGTCTGACACAGATACAGCCGACGAAGTGGTTGACATCAGCGCAACCCCACCCAAAAAAAGGGCTAAGAAGCTACATTTAAGTGCAAATGAAAAACAAATAATATTAAACATATACAAAAACCAAATTCAAGAAAAACCCGATTTGGTCGTGGACGAAGTTGTAAGGTAGCACATATTTCTGGAGTATGTCGGTCCAGTGTTTATAGGATCATTAAGGAATATAGGAGCACTCACAAACTTTCTGAGCCAAAACCTTCAGCTAAATGAACTCAATTGCCTCATTCCTTCAAATTTAATCAATCCATAGTGTAAGGAATAATTTATTTCCAGGAAAAGGCATACGGCTGATCATTTGTCACGTAGGTAGTGAAGACGGCTTTGTTCCCGAAGCACTGTGGGTCTTTGAATAAAAAAAGACAGGGGACTATCATGAGGAGATGGACGGCAATTCCTTTGAAAATTGGTTCTCCAAAATGTTACTAAAGCTGGAGAATAACGCTGTTATTGTACTGGATAATGCCCCGTACCATTCTAGAAAAATAGAAAAAATTCCCACACTGGCAACTAAAAAAGCAAACATACAACAATGGCTGGCCTCAAAACAGATCGATTTTGATGAAACAATGGTCAAGGGTGAATTGATAAGTATAGTCAATAGACATAAATACACATACGATTTTAAAATGATCGACGAAATGGCCAAAAAACAAAATAAAACTGTCTTGAGACTGCCACCCTACCATTGTGAGCTGAACCCTATTGAGCTGATTTGGGCCAACATAAAGCAATACGTGGCGTCGAATAATAATACTTATAAATTTTTTGATGTTAAAAATCTCTTTCACATCGCAGTCAATAGAGTTACGGCAGAGGAATGGAAAAACTGTATCCGTCACGTTCGGGAGAAGGTTGAGGTCAAAATGTGGGATTTGGACAATGTCATCGATACCCAAATTGAACCTCTAATAATTCATTTAAACGATTCAGAAGATTCAAGTTCCTCTTCTGAATGAGTGCGCGCAGCTTACTTACTAATAACTAAAAAGTGTAGTTAACTCATTTGTGAATCTCTAACTGAAATTTACTGTAAAAGATAATAATTATCTTGTATGAAATTTTTGATGACTACCCATAATATCTTGATGCGGTCCTGTAATGTCTCCTGCGCCTAAACACTCACTCACGAGCAATATGCGTGTTGCGTGTATTTGTTTGGGTTTAGTTTCTTTCTTCAGCGCCTAGAGTATAGATCACAGATTCTGGAATAATTTTAGTAGAACAGTTTTCATTGACAAAATGTTTGTATAATGTTATTGAGACAGTTCGAAGAAATCGAATCTCGCATAGAGTCGTCATGTGCACACTCGTAGCCCCTAGTTCGGTAGAGCAGGGTCAAACGATTGTTTTCGTTCAATAAAAATTAAAATGTAGATTGACTGGGATTTTCGTCGAATTTTGTTTGAATATTAATTGTTGGATTCATTGACTGGACTATATTGACTGATTGATTCCCCGTATTCGTTCCGTATCGAATTGACGGGTCCAGTGCTGTTCTGTTCTACTACTTGATACTAGATGTCACGCCACATTCTCAGATTTCTCAGATTAGAATTTGATACTCAATCAATTGATTTTTGATGTTAACTGTAATATTTAGTGAAAATTATATGCAGATATTAGACAAACACAATGGTTTTGTAATTTCATTTCGATAGTGGTGCTATCTTTGATTTGGTAGTTACAGCTTTCTCAAAAGTTCAATTAGTGTATAGAAATCTGTTCAGGGGAGATAGTGATTTGAACATCAGTGTTGGTGATACTGGTCTTAAATTGAGGTTGGTGTACCTGCTGTCAGTTGCCGGATTGTGTAGCCTATTTTTCCTTAAAAAAAGGGTTTTTAGATTTGTCTCCATTTACCTCTGGATTAATTATAGGATAATTTTAATAAGCTTCGTGATGTAAAGTTTTTCGGAAAATCAATAAAAGTAGTCATATGTTAAAAAGTTCGATAAAACATAGATTAACGTTATTCTACAGGACAATGTTCTGCTTTAAGATACTTTAATGCATTTTAAAGTGTACATAATCGTTTTCAAACATGTTTGTGGTTAATCTTCATAGTATCCAAAACTGTTAACAAGTATAAAAAGCATAAAAAGTAGATGCCACAAGATTCTGCGTGGTAGCATGTCGTACTGTGTGCCGAGCTCTCGAGGTCGTCGAATTTCTAAAAAAAAATTAACGTGGCTTACAGAAGGTTGCGCGTCTGTATAGATAGATATGCAGATGCTATGTCTGTCATTGTTAGATAGAGACCGCCAAAAAATAACTGAGTGACTCGCAGACCTATAGGATATATCGAGGAACTGGCAACGTGATGGCGCTGATGACAGGTCTCCGTCCATCCACGAGCATTTCTTGTCAAAAGCTCAAAAAGTGTCAACCTGTCAAAGGAACACAATCGGGAAATCGGGATGCACAATCGCTGATCGTCAGCCACAATTTCTCAGTTCGCAAAACTTTTTCTTTTCCGCGATAGTGGTGCCGAACCAAACGCTCTCCGTGGATTTTCTTAATACAAACGCGCTGTTTTCTAGTCTTCCCACGCGCGAGTGACCTAGTCGAAGGTTGGTATTTCATTCAATTATTTTAATTTTGATTGTTAAACGATCACTGCTTTTATACATCTTGTCACTTTTCATTCCGTTTCCGTATAAAAATGTTGCCATAAACATACTTCGCACGTGATTTCACGCTTAAAATAGTTGTATCACCGAGATTTCATGTTGAAAATGATTGTATACTTGCTGAATTCCAAAGATGAACATAATGAGGGTGGATCACAGCTCACAGTATGTCCTTAAGGAACCATACATTCTCATCATATACAAAAAGGTAGAAAAAAAACAACCGCAAGTTTAAGAATGTGGCAATGAATATTCTATTTCAAAAATATAAATTTTATATAGGATGGATTTATATAAAAAAATGTTTTGATGCTTTACATTATAAGAAAAGGTGTTAGTATGAATATGAAATTAAAGTAATCCTGTGACAAAATGTTGAAAAATTAAATTGTTTCAAGTTACAAGCATAACTGAATTCAATATAAATGATTAAATAACTCTTTAAGTTTGATCTGGGATTTAAAATAAGCTTAAAGTATGAAATAATAATGTACACTGGGGTACTCATCTCTCTATCAATAGCTCTCTTAAATATGTTCATGGAAATTGATTACTTCCTTATCAAATTTACTTTTATCACAGATCTATGTTAATGTGAGCATTTTCATGCTTTTTTGTAATGATTGCATAAACAAAATGAATTGGGTTAGTGATATTATAAACAGACATAAAAAACTCATTAAAATTTTTACAGCTCTCTGGTCCGAGGTATAGAAGAGCTTTGTAATTATAAAAACTCTTTGAGCCAATATACATTAAAAGACTGTGTTGCATGCTACTATGTGTTATCAAACATTGCATAATTCAAAACTGACAACTTTTTAGTTAAGCAAAAAGCCTGGTGAGTTTTTCGATTTCCTATCAAATGTCATTCATATCTTATAGTCCTTGCATGTTTGTTTGACCATTAAATAAAACCACATATTCTACTAAGGATGTTTTGACTACCATAGAAGCTTTTTCCAAGTACATCCATATCTTAATTTTTTGAGTTACACAGTGTTAGAACCTAAGTGATGATTCTGGACAGTGTTGTTGTTGAAACCGTTAAGTTGTTTTCTAGCTGTTTTATAACTTTTAAGGTCCTAGATCTGCTTGTGTTAACAGTACTTGATATTTTATTGTTAAGAGTATAATACTGCAAAATAGGCCTAATTTACCTTGCTAGCACTTTTCAGTACTTTGTTACTTCTTGACTTATCTAGTAGGCACTTCTCATTATTTGTTTCCAATCCTTTGTTTTGTCCTGTACTGATACATGATACTTTTATCAAATTTGTGTTTGACCATCATTAATTTTTCGTATGTCATATAATGTGTCCCAATTTCATCACAATCTGCAAAATGCGTAGGTGTACATAAAATCCCAAAATAAGATTACATTTACAGGATGTTTCAAATAGTCTAGCACTAGCATAAATACAAGGCTTTACAGACCAGTCGTATAAGTCATATTTTTTGAGCAATGGCATCTTCTGAAATGCCGTTATAACTTAAAATCAGATGAACATCTCTATTCACAATATCCTAATAGAACATCTTAGAATATTGTATCCAACACCGAAACAACCGTGATAATCAAGGCAAAGGTTGCAAATGAAATGCTGTTATGATTTCCTAATGAGTTTTTTTAACACTGTTAACATAGAAACCTGTCTGTTAGATAACAGGTCTGTAATTTCAAGATACCAATGTCATAATAAAATGTATTTATAAAGCAATTTTATGTTACAATGTTATAGTTTGTATTATGGAAACATATTTCTCTGAAGGCATCTAAAGAATTATTTGATACTCGCAAAGAGGTGATTTATTATAATTTCCGTTTCACATAGTTTTACATTTGATTGTAAAAAATATACCTGTATTATTGCCGAAAATTGTAGCTGTCTTTTCACACGTGAGATGATTGTAGTCACATTTGACGCAAAAAATATAAAATAATTCCAAATACCCTGTAGTCATCAAACAAAAGTTTAGCTGTAATGCATGTACTCCTCTGCATGCTACCTAAATCTTGGATTTTGTACATACCTAACAGTAATGAAGCTGATTATTATTATATGGAATGCACATGACGGTAACAACAGCAATTGCCAAATACACTAACTTCCTCGCGATTTCACTATATTTTTTAAACCAAACAATACGCTAACCACCACTTGAACACTGCAAACGACAACTAAAAAAAGTTACACAAAGGGATTGAGGTTATATTTATGTCGTACTCAAACACTGCACAAAAAACAACTCTCTGGGCGATTCTCGCCCATATCGCATATTTTTACGGCGAAGATTTTAACCAGACTTGTTTTACGTGTAAAATGATGACTAATACTAATTTTTGTATGGACGCAATTTTGCATCAATTATCGTCGGTGTAAAAACGGCTGTTACTGTTTGAAACCAGACTTTGAATTGATCTCAGAATCTTAAATTGTTTGATATGATTAATTTTTTTTCCAAATTACCACTTAGGAGACTTTATTTTGAAGCTATCATGTCGGATATGTGTAGAATCAACCAAAGAATGAACAAACCTTGATGCCGTGTTTTCAATATTTTGATGACATTTGCATAATTGAAATTGACTTGACGCTGTTTCAAATATACTACAACATACTATTCGCTGGTTGTACTGTGTTTTTGCAATTACAATAACTCCTCGTCCCTTGCTGTACAAAAAACGACGATTTTCGCGATAAAGTCGGCCTGGGCAGCGAAATTTTTCAAATCTCCTTCTGCGCCCTATTCGTTCATTATTGGAAAGCATTATTATTGAAACCATTGTAAAAAAGTTGATCATAACGTATCATTGCGATTACAATACTTCCACGTCTATTGATGTGCACTAATCGCTGGTGTGTACAATGAAGTCGAACTACTTGACGCTGTTTTTCAAATCTACTCCGCACCCTATTTGCATGGTTTTCGATAATCTCAATATTGTAACGCGTGTAAAAAAATAATTTTGCAATTACGATACCTCTCTGCATATTGATGTGAAAACATAAGAGTTCATCTACCTGATGCTGTTCTTCAAATCTTTTTCTGCTCTCCATTCGTTGTTATTGGATAATCTTAATGTTGAAATGCCTCCGTATAAAAAAACTGGCCGTACCGTATTTATCGAAATATCTGATTTACATCACTTACATAACAGTTATAGGAGTGAAAGCTTCTGACTTCCAAAAATTGTGAAGACCTGATTATTTTGTCCAAGAAAGATTTTCTAAACGATCGATGGAATTTTTATCGATTGCACACACGCATTTTTCGTTAGCAATCTTACAGGGTGATACCATGGAACATAACCAATGGATGTATACATATGTCTATACATGCTTGTTTTTTAATCTGGTCATGAGATAATGATTTTTTGGATCCGTTAAATATGTTAATCAAAAACGACAGTTCCAGCAATGTTGAGGACATTTTCCATAAGCAAAATGAGATGTTCTTCAGAAGTATAGAAATCTGAAATGTATGAAAATTGAGGATTCGTTATACTTTTAAAAGTAGATGGGGAAAAGGCAGATTTAATAGATTGGGTTTAAGGCGACGTTCGCAGGGTATTTGAGGTTTAAAAAAACTCGAATTTCAAACTGACATATCCCTTTTCTTCTCAAATACCTACCCTAAAAACCTCGTCTTAAGACTTTTATGAACATGACACGTGACCGCCGACCTGAGCGGCGCCATGTACTTCTAGCTTTCCAGATTACCCTTCATTTAATTTCCGTTTTTCGCACAATGTTTCGAGTTCTTTAAAAGGCTACATCCGCTTGTTTGCTTGCCGTTTCGCCTGTCTCAATGACTAGACCTAAGACCTATACCGATGAGCTGCTAATGAACAACAAAAACAGCGCTGTCTACGGTTGGTCGTGGCTACAGGAGACGGAAAGCAAACGTGTCTTCGTCAGTAAACGTTTCCGAGAGATAACGTACATATCACACGCATTGATGATAGTTTTCTAAAAAATATTCTGTTTGTTCCAGGTGCTTCCAGTAGCGTGTTGCCGACCATGTCTGTACGTGCTATCGTATCCCAATAGCTTCCGCGTATAGCTTCCCTTCAGCTTCGACCGTACCACCTCCGTAATGTCATAATACAGCTCGTTGTTCCGTTCAGCTCCGCCCATATTCCGACGCGGCGAATGACAAACGGCGCCGGTGCCGTAGGCCACACCCACCGTCACGTTGGACCAACCGTAGGCGTAGGTGAGTACAGACCCTCCAGTACAATAGGGTTATCTGCAATTTGCGAGAACTATTATACGTTTTGATGGTCATTGTTTAAATGGGTGATAGAGGTGGTTTAAAGAAGCAAAAAGTTTCATGTAACACTAACTGTCTCAGCGCTTCACCTGGTGTGCGAAAGTTTATTGAACCTATTAAAAAAGGTGTTCAAAATGTCGTTCTCCGCTTTCCACGCGAGCTTCATTACGACGAACCCAGTTTCTTCTTACTCCAGGTCCTCGAAGTTGTCCATTTATTATTTCAACCGCATTAAAATTTTTTTTCGCGAAGTTGTGCTTCAGTTGTTAATGCACCAATCCCATAAACCATCCCTTTAAGTTCTCCCCAATACCAGAAATCCATCGGATCGAGGTCAGGAGATCTTGCTGGCCATTTTCGAGGCTCAATCTTCATTCAAATACTGAATGACGCCTCTAAAAATGCGGTGGTGCCCCGTCATGAACAAACCACAAATTCTGTCGCCGTTGTAATTTCATGTTGTCTAAGGTCTGTTCCAAAAGTTCTGGTAGGTTATTGGCTAGAAAGCTAAGATATCCTTCTCCTAACAACTTTGGGGGTAACTCGAAAGGGCCAATTACCTGATCGTCAAGAATACCCGCCCAAATATTTATTTTAAAACGTTGTTGGAAATGACCTCCACGAATGGTATGAGGATTTTCTTGGGCCCACGTGTGAGTATTATGGAAATTTAATATCCCATCTCGCGTAAAAGTACATCCGTCCGTCGCTAGAATGATTTTAAGAAATCCCGGATTTTCAATGTTTTTGTGCAAAAACTACAGACAGAATGATAGTCTGCGAGGATAGTCTTCTGGTACATGGTAGGGATAAAGCAAATTTTCCCGTAGGATTCTATCGACTGTGGTATGCGATAGTTCTACGCGGCGTCCTAATTCCCGAGTGCTGATATCTGCATTGTAACACGATATTTAAAATTTGTTCCTTCTGCTCTACAGTAACCCGTCTTTCACGAGTGCGAATATTAGTGGGCTGGACACTTCCTGTATCTCGAAGTCTTTGCACAAATGTCCTTCTGTCTGGGTGTACCCGTTGGCGAAATTTGAGGCGATAAATTTGAGCTGCAAGACTTGAATTCTGACGAGCTTCACCGTACACTAACAACATGTCGGTGAACTCTTGATTCGAGAACATTGTAAACAAACACGGCGACGTACGCGAACAAAACAAAACAACACGCCCGATGCTCTCCTCGACAAAACGATAAAGTAATTTATCTACGCAAAACGATAACTAACCACTGTTACCGTTTGCGATCGATTGCCGGTTCGATAAGAGTGACGAAAGACCGACGCGCTGTTGTCATGTGTGTTTTAAATATTTAATTTAATGAAACTTACTTATTTACTGACTGCAAATTTTGGCCTAACTTAGAAAAACTTAATGCCATTTATTTGTTAATTACCCAATTTAAAAACGTTTTAGATTAGATTATAAAAATTAGCAAGATTGTGGTCCATATAAAGCACTTGAAGTTGTAAACTATAAGGCCATTTAGAGAAAAATCTACTGACTGTTGGACCATGGGTTATATGAACTTTTTGACTTGTTGTGACCCCCCCTATTACCCATTTCAATAATGACTACCATAACGTTTACACCCTGTTTATAATCAGTGATATTAAAGAATAAAACGATAACATTCTCACGAAATTTTATTGACAAGTAATAAAAAAAAATAATGTGTTGGGCGACCCCGCAGCTGAATACACTCCTGTATACGTCTAGGCATCGACAAAATCAGATGATCGATGTCTGGTTATGGCAACTCATTCCAAGCAACTCGAACTTCGTGGATTAACTGTGGCAGAGCCTGTGGCGGATGGTGCAAAGTGGATAGTCTCCTATCCATCATATTCCACACATGTTCGATGGGATTTAAATCCGGTGAACGGGTTGGCCACGGCAAAACATTAACGCTTGCTTCTTGAAGAAAGTCCGTAGTATGACTAGCAACATGGGGACGTGCGTTGTCTTGTCTCTAGATACGGCAGTAATGTTGTTTGTAGGAAATCATCGACATAACGCGCAGCAGTCATATCATAGGGTGTCCGCAAAGTTGGGCTTTTCTTTTTCAGACACAACTGCGCTTGATATAACAAAGCTAATGTGTAGTGAAACGTGAGCGAACAAGTAAAAAATAAATGAAAAATTACTTACTGTTCAGTTGATTTGAAATTCCAAGTACGGCTCTGTCGTAAAATCCGTATTTACATCGTAGTCGTAGGTCGTATAACTGTACGCTGGCGTTGGCGCTGTGGACGTGATCCAGTGATAGGACAGGACCGGCTTCGGTTTGGTTCAGGTTTGCGGAGTCCAAAATCTCGGTCCTCTTGAGACATTGGTGTATATGCTACTAAGAAAATCCGCTTATTTTCTGAAGATCTACACGTCGTGTAAAGCAAAACCCCAACTTTGCGGACACCCTTTATAGCCCCTAAACCATTACTCCAACATTCCTTTGTACATGCGTCAAATATAGTCAATATGTTGCCAAAAAAACAAGTTGAAGAAATTATTTTTTCTGGGTGTAACAGTTCTAACGTCACCGAGTATATATTTGAAAGTTGAAGTTGACTTTAAACTATTTTCATGGAAATAAAAACATTTTTCCAGGCATGGCCTCTTTCATGACGAAAAAGAAAAAATACAAATTTCACGTGGACGTCTGCTTGGAAGAATTGGTCGAAGTGCCCTTCGTTTCTGCAGTGCTGTTCGCCAAACTGCGATTACTAGATGGCGGAAGCTTCCAAGATACTAGTAGTAGGTGAGTGATTTTTGTCTCGCTACTTTTTTTTATTCCTTTTTTCAACCTCCATCCTATCGTGGATTTATATCTGGGCTATAATTGCCATAGTTATATCCAAATATAATAATAATCCTTATAAAAAGGCGAAGTGTCGCTAAAAAAAGCGTTTTTTAACTTAACCCAACAAATGTTTTTTGTAAATTTTCTAACCCCAATGAAAACAAGAAAAAAAACTGTAATGGGGTACTTACTGGGCGGTAAAATCAGAGATAAAATGTTTCATCTTTTTGAAATCGTTTATAGAGTAGTGAGTGAACTTGGTAGGCAACGCGTTGTATAACTTGATAGCTGTATATACAGGGTGTCCCAGAAATAACACGCCAGAGTGACACAGGAGGTAGATTGGCTTCAGAGCAATCAGATAGAATCAACATGACCTTAGTAAAAGTTCTCTAGTTTTCCAGATATTCCACTTTTAAGTTTTTTCAAAAAATCTCTTCTTTTTGCTCCTTTGCCTGTTATGACTATAAAGAACTTCTAACAAAAGATTTTTTTCCTGGGCTACCATTAACAGTTGGTTGAGACAACCGAATATTCATTTCATTGAAAACTAGCACGGTATGCTAAAAAAAATTATTACAGCTTCAATGCGAAAGCCTTTACTAAAGTTTCACTAATTACTGCGAAAAAAATGTACCAGGCTGAATCAGCAAATCCTTAAAAACTAGCTATTTAATGTTCTTTCAAAAATAGTCTAACACTTGTAGGTTCTTTTTACTAAAAACTGAATAATTCCAAGTTTTATCATTCGGGTCGTAATACTTGCGAAATACAAATAAAAAATGAGGCTACTTTTTAAGATCATTTGCAGATTGAGTCTGATACATTTTATTGTTTTCATAGTAATTAGTCAAACTTTTTAAGGTTTGAAACAAAATGTAATAATTTTTTTAGCGAATGGTGGTACATTAATTTTGGAATCAAGGTGAAACAAAATTACAATGTACACGTTTACAGATTTTTTTTTTGAGAGTTTTTGTGAAAAACAGTATTAATTATCGAAATTGCTCCAGGGTGCACTTAGGATACTTCAATATAAATGTTGATAATAAAGATTTTTATGTAAAAAAATTTAAACAGGTACTGAAATTTCATGGTCTATGGCAAAAAGTTAATGACTACACAAGGATTACAAACTGTTCACGAACTAAGATCGATTTAATAATAACCAATGAACAGGATTTTAGTATTAAGGTTTTATATACTCCAAAAATAAGCGACCATTCGTGGATATGTTTCGAGGTGGAAAATATGTTTAATGAGAGAGAATCAAGAGAAATTTGCTGATGATACATTAATATATATATCTATATATATATATATATATATCAAATAAAGACATTGAAACTGCAATAGAGCTGCTAAATAATGATATCAAGTACGTAATAAATTGGTTAAATGTAAATAAACTTAAACTAAACACAGACAAAACAAAATATATGCTAATAGGAAAATCTTTAGATCAAAATACGATAAATCTTACAATTAATGATGAAAAAATTGTGTCAATCGAATCATTTAGATATTTGGGCACATACGTAGACAGTAAATTAAAATTTGAAGGGCACTATGAATATATTATTTCAAAAATATCCAAGAAAATAAATTACTTTTACAGAATTTCGCATAGCCCAAGCGTTTATTCAAAAAAAAGTTGTGTACAAAACTATCATTCTTCCTCACCTGTTATATTGTTCGAATATTTTGTTCACTGCAAATGAAAATGTATTTTCAAAAATACAAATATTACAAAATAAAGCTATGAGAATCATCTTAGATAAAAATAAATATAGTAGAATAAATTTTATGCTGAAAGAACTACAATGGTTAACTATCAAAAATTTCATAGCCTACTTGGTTTTCGTTTTCATATTCAAGTTGAAAAATCATCTTCTACCAAATCACTTAGAAAATTTTATTGTATTGAACAATGAGTGCCACAATTATTCTACTAGAGGAAGTATAGACTTTCATTTACAAAACTGCAGTAGCAATATAAGTCAGTATTTCAAAAGAGATTGTAAGAATTTAATAAATTAAGCTATTATATCAAGATGTGTGTCAGTTTGAAAATGTTCAAAGGGAAATTGAAAAAATATCTCATGGAAAACCAGAATTCATAGTAGTGAAAATTTGTAGAAAAATATGTAGTCTTCAAGACATAATATATTTTGTGATATACTGTGTAATATGGATATTATGAACATCGTTTCATTAATGCAATTAATCTGAAGCAAACAAATACAGTGCTAGCTTTCAATGAAATGAATACTCATAGGTTAGAAGTTCTTTATATACCCATACCACGATTTTTTGAAAAAAGTGGCAATATCTCGAAAACTAGAAAAATAGGTATGTTGATTTTATGTGATTGATCTGAAGCCAATCTACCTCCCGTGTGTCACTCTGACGTGTTATTTCTGGGACACACTGTATGTACGATCTTTTAAATAGATATGTTGACTGTCTCAAGAAATGCTTATTCTTTGTATTCAGTTGAATATCTGAGTATCTGACAAATTTGGTTGACGGATACAGAGGGGCTTATGTTGTTATTATCTTATGGGATGGTCAGTACGTGGTATTGCTAGAAAAAGGAGTCTATCAACTTTGTGAACAGCAAGATCCTCCCTAGCCAGCCCCTGTACATGCGTTCATGCCAGTTTTTTACTCTGTAGTTAATGGTCATGACCTCTAATCGGAAAAACCTTTGCAAAAATATATTATCACACTGTTAACGTGCAGTGAAGGAACCAGAACACGAACTGAAAATACGGACGCGAGACGTCCTTGCAAGGCTGTAACACACTCGGCTTGGTCGGTAATAAACAAAAGCGGCGGTTTTTTTTTGTTATGTAATCCGGCGATATGGGTAGAAGGTGTGGTTAACGGTCGGTGCGATTCTGCATACTACAACCGTATCGATTACACAAGAAATTGTTACAGTTTACATTTACAGTTATTTATCACAGTATGGATAGCACAGCGTGAGGGCTGTTTGAAGCAGCGTGGTTTTTGATGGGAGTATAAAATAGCTGAATACGCGATATTATTGGCAGGTTCTTACGAAGGTGGTCTGAAAAGTTCCCGACTTAACAAAGATACAAGACATGCATCGAAATATCCTCAATATTTATTGCCTTATTCTAGGTGGAGTTGCCGATAACAACTGAATCACTTATTATTCAACAACCAATCATTAAATCGCTATAGTTTATCAATCTTCTTCTCTTGAAAGGACTCATCCGTATTCGTAATAATATATGCACGGTTCCATTTAAAAAAATTGCGTCAAGTAGATTGACTCTATACTTCCTACGGCTTCGTTGGAGGTCATTATGTCTAACAGGTGAATAGTATCGCTGAGTATTTTTAATAATATAAGGTCTTTCACTGACACCAAATATTCAATGATTTACAATCATTTACTGCAATCTCTGAAGCGTTGTTTCTTCTAGCGGTTTTACTTCCGCCGCCTCCGAATTAGTTTTCAAAATCTACGACTACCTAAACGATGGAATTATTAAGCTCACAAGTCCGTGTTTTTCTATTGGTTTGTCATGTACAGGGTGTCCGCAAAGTTGGGGTTTTCCTTTACACGACGTGTAGAACTTGAAAACATAAGCAATTTTTCTTAGTACCATACACACCAATGTCTTAAGGGGACCGAGATAAAGGGCTCTGCAACATCAAAAATATCTGAATACCGTTCTGTAGCCGCGACCCGCGACATCACCGAGTGGTACAAGGTCACTGGCTCAACCCGACGACAGAACTGGGTCGGGGTCAGTGTGTCAGGTCAGTATGCAACCTTCAACCGACGGTTACGGTCACGCGTGTAGAGGTAAACGAACCCGTATAATCGATTGCGTTTCAAAAAAAATAATAATAATGGCACACTCATACACCAATAATGAACTCGTTGATATGTTGTTAATTTATGGCGAATGTCTTCAAAATGCTACAGAGGCTTCGCGAGTGTATGCAGATCGTTTCCCTAGACGACATCATCCAAGGCCCCGCAGATTTGTGTACCTGGTCCAGAGAGTCAGGGATACAGGCCATTTGGAGGAATTTCGAGGTGGGCACAGTGGGAGGCCTAGACAACCACGAATGGTGCTAGTTGAGGAAGAACTACTGAATCGCGTAGACGAGAATCCCTCAACAAGCACTAGAGACGTGGCTAGAGAAGTACAAGTATCAAAAACTAAAGTGTGGCAAACGCTGCGTGAAGAGGGGTTGTATCCGTTTCACGTCCAACGTGTACAAGCCCTTCAACCTGACGATTTTCCAGCAAGAGTGCGGTTTTGTGAGTGGTTGTTGCATCAACATGACAATAATCCGGACTTTTTGAAGTGCATATTGGTGACAGACGAATCTACGTTCACGCGTAATGGGGTGAATAACTTTCGTAACACTCATGTTTGGTCAGTACAAAATCCGCACGCTGTCCGTCGGGCACATTTTCAACAAACATTTTCGGTGAATGTTTGGGCAGGCATGATGAACGGTATGCTCATTGGACCATTTATTCTCCCAAATCGATTGGACCGGATGCAAAACCTAGACTTTTTACGCAACATTTTGCCTTCCTTGTTAGAAGATGTGCCATTAAGTGTAAGACAATCAATGTGGTTTCTGCACGATGGTGCACCGCCCCATTTTAGACGCGAAGTGCGTGAGTTTTTGAATGAATTATTTCCGAATAGGTGGATCGGACGTAATGGACCCGTAGCGTGGCCTCCGCGATCTCCAGACTTAACACCATGAGATTTTTTTCTTTGGGGAGAAATGAAACGCTTAGTGTACAAAACTGTAGTGCATACGGTTGACGAACTTCGTCTCAGAATTGAACAAGCTGGTGCTTTCTTTCGGGGGAGGGACTCCATTCTCAAAGCCTGCACCGATGCTTGGCTACGTCGTGCACGCATCTGTGTTTTTGAATCAAACGGCTATAA